CGCTGGTGCCTGTGAGGTAGTTTCGACCTAATGTTACGACTGACTGTCGAGCGAGTAAGTGGAGACGAGCGAGGCAGGCAGGAGCGCCGACGAGCTCTGATCGCAGTGAGACTGGAGCGGAGCTCAACAGGCAGGACTGGAGACAAGTTGTGTATTGAGCGAGGTATCTACAGAGCGAAATACACGATGGCTTACCTGGAGACAAGAGGTCGAAACTAGAGTCTCCAGGTAGCAAGGGATCCAGCTATATACAGGGAACGAACAATGGGCGCTAGAGAACAATAGCGTCGCCATGGGTACGGAGTACAAGGGGTGTAGGACAATAGCGGACGTGGGAACAAAGGGAGCTATTGTCCGTGTGTGGACAAAGGGAAACCGTAGCGAGTAGTGAACAATAAGGAAACGTACGAGGCAGTGGTCCGAATCGAAAAGGAAACGTAGCGCCGTGAGGGCGGTTCGTGACAGCGTCCCCTCACTCCTCCTCCCGTTCCCCTCACTCCTCCTCCCGTTCCCCTACCCCCTCCCACCCGCCCTTCCCCCCCTTCCGCTAGTGCCTTCGACAAGGTGCTAGGCAAACTCGCGGCCCTCCGCTGCGAGGCCCTCCTCCTCACCCGCCGCCGCCGTCCTGATAAGATGCCGGCGGCCTCCTCCCCCCGGCCTGCCAACGCGGCCCGGGGCCCCCTTTCCTACGCCGATGCCGCCCGCGGCGCCTCGAAGTCGGGCGGCACTGTTTTCATATTTAACGTCAGCGGGCGGAGGGGAGGGGCGAAATGGGCTAGGGGCGTGGGGCAGCAGGTGGCGTAAGGCGAGGAAAACGCGCACCGCACACGTGTCTGAAGATGGGGTGAGGCTGGTAGGGCGGGTTCCTCTCCACACGCTGACTTCGGTCGTGGTCTGGGCACGCCGGCGCGATTGCGCCGAGTGGAAATGACCCACAATCCCGGATAAGACGCCTACTTACACGTGTACTGTACCGGTTCTGTGCCTGTATGCGCGTTTGGTATAAGACGAGAATCTAATAATAATAATAATAATAACGGTGCTGTTCACCCAAGCAATACCGCCACGATATCTTGCTCTCTGATTCCCACTAGCTGCACGACAGAATGTCAGAAAAACTCCTGAACTGGATACAAGTTTCCACGATCTTTTTTGGCGCGACGCAGAGACCGCCAAATCACAGGGCATAATGCTAAATGGAACATGATGGAAAGCAGGAATGCCTCTTAGGGCGTTACACCAGATATACCAGTGCGCCGTCTTCCTCATCCCATGGCATTTTTATTCCGGGTAATAAGCATAAACGTGGCTAGGGATGGCCAGTTCCGCGCGAGTGTCTCGGATGTGAGTGCATGGTGTTGTTCTCCTCTCCGGGTCTGAGATAAAAGGTCGAGCGGCCCGGAGGAGTCACATAAATACACATGAAATCGGTCATACCGGTCGTTGATGCCGCCGCGCAGTCAGCAGCCTGTGCAAGTTCAACACCGACACATCATCAAGGACTTTGGTAGACACCGAAGACGTCTTCGCGCATTCCCCATCCTCGCCCGTGGTCGAAACCCACTCTGGCAACCCCTTCGCCATGGACGTCTTCGATGATGTAAAGCTGAAGTCCGAGGCTCACGTGTTTCAGCAACCCATTGCAAAGGTCAGCAAGTCGAGTGTCTGCCACAGGCGCACCGTTTTCGGTCGACGAAGCAAGCTCCTGGTGGTTGTCGCTAGTGTAGTGACCTTAGTCTGGTACCACTACGACTTCTTACACGACACAGAGCTTCCTAATCCAGTACCGCGCTTGCCTCAGAATTTCGGCGCCGATGACTTCGATTGGTACGCGGTATGTAACGCGAATACCTTCTCGTCGCTCTGCTTCCAAAGCTGACACAGTCGCCGCTAGCTCTCCCCAAGTCGGGATCTCAATTGGACGTCCTGTTACTCCGGAGAGAAGTGCGCTCGTCTCCTCCTGCCCTTGGATTATGACACTCCGGATAGCCCCGCGACTGCCATTGCACTTCGCATGATTCCGGCTACGGATCTAGAGAACTATCGGGGCACCATCTTCCTGAACCCTGGCGGCCCCGGCGGCTCAGGCACAGACTTTGTTCGCCGCGTTGGTCAGAATATTTCACGCGTCGTGGGCCCGTCATTCGACATTCTTGGCTTTGATCCGCGTGGGACAGGGAGGTCGACTCCTTCGGTGATGTGCTTTGACTCCTAATCTCAGCGCGACATCTGGGATATCCAGGAAGGTCACCAGCTCTTGAACGCCAGCGACAGCTCCTTGGGACTGTTCCATTCCCGCGCCAAGTTGCTCGCACAGCGCTGTGAAGACAGACTCGGGGGAGAGTGGGGCATCGGGAGGTTCGTCACCACAGCTAATGTCGTGAGCGACATGCTCCAGATCAACAAGCAGCTTGGACAAGACAAGTTGCAGTACTGGGGTTTCGTGAGTATCTAGTCGTTTCTCCAATAGCGCCAGGTATTGATGAGAAATTGCGGCAGAGCTATGGATCTGTGCTCGGCCAGTACTTCGCCGCTATGCACCCCGACAAGGTCAAACGCTTGATTGTCGATGGTGTTTACGAAGCTGAAGACTACCGTCGCGGGCGCTGGGGTACCAACATCGTTGACGCGGAGCACGTTGCCGACGCTTTCTTCACATTCTGCCATCAAGCCGGTGCTGAGAAATGCAGCCTGCACGACTCAAGCCCCGAGCGGATTCGCGAGCGATTCCTCCGCGTCCTCGACGAAGTCGAGAAGTCCCCTGTTGGCGTACCGCGTGCCGAGCCACCGGCAATCGTTACACGCAAGGCCCTCATCACCCAGCTGTTCTTCGGGAGCTACAAGCCCCTCGTGTCCTACCCCATTATTGCCAACACGATCCGTGCCCTCGAGACCGGAGACCAGAATATCCTCACCGCACTCGCACCGCAGCTCGTCAATCTGGTCGAGTGCCAGTGCGATGCGGTCCCAGACCTCAACAACCCCGCTGACAACGAAGCGACGTACTCGATCGCATGTAGCGACAGCGACGGCACGCAGTGGGACGAAGACGCGTTCAGGGAACATTACGCCACGCTCGAAGGCCAGTCGCCCCTCGGGGCACCCTTGTGGGCGTACCTGCACATGCAATGCCTGGAATGGAAGATACGCCCCAAGACGCGCTGGACGGGCTCGCTGGGGGCGCAGAGCACGTCGCACCCGATCCTAGTCTTGTCGGCACGGTACGACCCTGTGACGCCGCTCGCGGATGCGCGGTTGGTCCAGACACGGTTCGGGGGTGCGGGGCTGCTCGTGCAAGAATCGTATGGGCACTGCTCGTTGTCTTCACCATCCCTCTGTACGGCGCGGCATGTGCGCGAGTATTTCATCAACGGGACGCTTCCGGAGGAAGGGGCCGTGTGTGGGGTTGACGAGTTGCCGTTCATTGGGTCGGTACAGGGAGATGTCCAGACCTTGTCTAGCGAGGATGCAGAGCTGCTAGACGCACTGCGGGATGCAGCGACTGCGATGCCGGTCTATAATAGGTTGTAGGCCCTTCGACCGATTGGACCGTTCAGTACCGTGGTCACTTTTGCCTGTACGTGTCCCAGACGATCGCAACACAACAAGAACGCCATCGTTACTCGCTTCAAGTTCCGGTGGGCGCGTCTTATACCACGCTCGGATTGAACCGCTCACTGATAGCTCCGTAATCTCTTCATTGTATCGGAGTTCAGAACCATCTTCCAGCGAATTGCGTTGTTATATCGCGCGTTGCGCATAGTCGACTGAATGAGTCGTTCAGAGCAACACGCGCACGCGAATTTTGACTCTGACAGAGCAGATTTCAGAGCCCAGTCAAGTAGCCTGGCTGGAATGCGGGTGCGTAGTCTTGGTTTCCAGTTGCAATAGCCTGAGTATTGATCGTCAACCAGGCAAGAAGCGCCTGGCAGCTAAGTAGCACGCTCGCGCCAAAGTACTCCGCGCTGTTTGGTGATGTGCGAGCTCGAGATCCAGTGCTTGAGTCACGCAGTGTCGTCCCACAAAGCTCATTGATGTTTAACCGCAACAATCAGTCGTCCGAAGCTTGAACGAAGTACATGTGCAGGCCAGCTGTGCACCCCGGCTTCCCCCCGCGACTGCCTTTTCCTCTCTGCTACGGAGTCCTCTGGTGTGACAAAGAGGAAGTGGGCTTATGTGCTTGACTAACGGGCTGTGAAGGTGAGCGAGAGGCATCTACTATTCACGTTGTGTCCGAACCACTCCACAAGCTCCCGCACTCTTACAATCGTCCTGCCGCGAAGGGGAGTACGTGGATAAGCTGCATGGTTGTATTATCTGTTGACATAGGTCTAGTACACGTTTTGTATAGAAACATTCAGGCGAGAGAGTCAGGATTCAGCGTAAGATAGACAGTCGTATAGCGAGGGGGACATTCGGAGAGGACGACGACGACGAAGGAGAGGAGAAAACGAACGGAGGGAGTGAAGAAACTTTGAGCAAGGAAAGAGCATCGCAGCGACATATATGTGAGATCTCCGGGTCTAGACGAGTCGTGACATAGACGAAGAAAAAAAAGGGAATGAACGAGTCATCCTGACACAGGTTAATTACGATCCTAGGGGTACTATCGATATTGACAATGTCCAACGATAAGCAAGCGTTGTATGATACATCCGACGCACTGCGTGTCTCGACTGGAGAGACCTGCCTGCTCCATTTTGCTTCCGGAACAAACTCGATGTCATGCTACGCCTTATGCATGAAGGCCAACCTTGAGCGTAACGATTGCCTTCGTTGCATGGAGGGCGATTCTCAACGCATGGAGGAACGTCCAAGTGAGGCCGATAATCAAGATGGGAATCCAGAAGAGCACGAGCATCCGGTCATCTACAGAGACCGGAGGTTAGCCACGAGATTGAGACAATGTCAACGAAACCACATACGCTTCTTCTGAGCCCGACGAGCGGGCTTGCGCGCCGGCCTATAGCCATACAGCTGCACCTCCTCCTCCGGGATCGCGGCAACACCGTAGCCCACCTGGCGAGGCGCAGGGGCAGGCATCACAATCCTCTCAGCGGCCGCCGTCGCCGCCGCTTTGCTCTCAGCTTGGGGAGCATGCTGAGGCTTCGGCATCGGCCCCTTCTCGTCCGAGTTGAACGTCGTTGGGTCAATCGCTTCGTCAGTCCCGCGCGGGGTGTAAGCTGGAGGTGGCGCGTTATCGTTATCGTGACCCTGGTTGCCCTGGACCCTCATCGCCTGCTGTATCCACTTCTCCCAGGACGCCTTCCAGTCCATCGCATTCGCGAAAGTAAGTCTGACCTGGCCGTTGCCCTCAGCGCCCGTGTCCGCTTTGTCAGGTGCGCCGCCGCGGGCCCTGCGGTCACCCCAGAGCTGCGGGATCGGCACGAGGACCGGAAAGACTGCGGGGATTTGCGGAAGAGCGCCCCAGGTGGGGATTCCGGGGATATTCGGCATCTGGAGATAAGGGATGTTGGGGATCGCGGGGATCATGCCTTGCGGGTGCTGGAGCTGCGCGAGGGTGCGGTGGAACTTCTCCGTGAACGTCACCGCAGCTTGCTTCTCGTCAGCAGCAGCGAGCCCGGCTTCGAGCGCCTTCTTCTCCGCCGTGGCCGACGACGTTTTGGGTATTGCTTCTGACGACGACAGCGTCTCAGAGGCAGGAGAGACGTCAGCAAAGCGCGACTTCAATGGTCGACCGAGCCTGCGACCCGTTCTCCGCCGGAGCATGTTGCGACGCTCAGCCTCGCAGTCCGATTCCTCCTCAACGTCGCCCCAAGCACCATCGTCCGAATCGTGAGCCCCGCTCTCAGACGAGCGTTCGCTCTCCGAAGCCATGAAGTCGAAGAAGCCCACCGGGCCGACCTCCGCAGGCGTCTTGCCGGCAGCGTTAACAACATCCAGTGCAGCACCGGCATCGACGAGCGCGCGCGCACACTCCGTCGAGTTCGTGAGCGCAGCAAGGAAGAGTGCCGTGCAGCCATTCAAATCGCGCGCGTCGATATCGATGCCCTGTGAAAGGAGGAACTTAACGAGCGATGGGAACTTGGCGAGCGTCGCAAGGTGAAGTAGCGTCTGACCGCTAGCAGTCTGCTTGGAGATAACAGCCATGCTTGTGGCGGAGGCGTGGGCCATGGGAACGTCTAGGAGTGCGAGGAAGTCGAGAAGGACCCTCTCAAAGTCGCCGTTGTCACCTGCGCGACCGAGAAGCAAGTGTGAAGAAAGCTGCATTGCACCGCCGGCGGACATGCCGATATGAGGCTCAGGCTCGGGACCTCCTGTGTTGCCGACGATGCGCATGGCGATATGCCTGGCGTCCTCGATCTTACCAGTCATCTTCAGGCCAACGACCTGAAGCGCCAGTTCCATCCTGCAGACGAAGCGTTAGCAAGATAAAGCACATGAGTAGACAGATCCAGATACGTACAAAGCACGATCCGTCTCATCCGTGTACGTGAAGAGACACGGCGGCGTACCGTCCTCTTCCTTCGGCATGCCCTCGAACCATACGTGGACCTGGCCAGGACTCACGCTCGGCGGCAAGATACAGACAAGTGTGTTGTCACTCCAGCGCTGTGTCGACGTCGAAGGCGTGGAACCAAAGACGCAGTTCAGCTGCACAGAAGGGTGGAAGTTGGCACCGAGAACAGTGACCTCGATACCGCCGAAAGTCGGTCCGGCGGCAGGAATGAGCCGATGAATGCGAGGAGGGAGCAAGCTGATAGGCGAAGGACCGTGCTTGAACAGCATATATGGCATAGAAACAGCTGGAGCCGGTACGGGAACGGTAAGGTTCACGGGCTCGACAGCTGCATGCGGTGCCGGAATGGAAGGCGGATGGTGCACGAAAGAAGGATGTGACAAGTCCTGGTATGAGGAAATGGGGGACTCGAGCTCGCCACAATCTGGCATAGGGATGTCGACGTCGAAAGTGGTGTTCAAGAGATCGGCAATGGAGCCATTGGAGTCAAAGGCTGCCAGATCAGGACTAGTCACCGCCGTCGACGCTAAGCTATCGAGCGCATCAGGATTGACGGAGACAGAGGAGCACGGGGCCTCAAAGTCGAAGGTCGATGGAGGAGATGAAGCCACAGAGGTAACGATATGCAAAGGCGCCAAGTGTGTTGTCTGTTGCAGCGGCGACGACGCTCTCGTCGCGAAAGCAGAGGTCATCTCGGACGGCGAGTGAAGGCTGCCACTGCTACTCTGTCTGTGAAGTTTCGAGACCCTGCCGTTGGCGTCGTACGGCTTGGCGCGCTTCTTCGAGCGATCAGTGCCGTTGGTCACCTTCTTTCGCTTGGTGACACCTTGCGACTCCGTGCCGGCGACGGTCCAGTCCAACTTCGCACCAAACTCGTTGCTCGTTTTCTGTGCATTCACACCAGTGCTCTTATGATCATCGGTGATCATGATGGGCTTTGTCGTTCCGGTGCCGACGATACGACCAGTGTGGTCAAGCATCGTGAGATGCAGGTTGAAGCCTACCTTCTCGCGGTGATGCCGGCAATAACATGTAATCCGTAGCGGGAGGATGACAGAGCCCGAAGAAAAGTCAAGGACTTCGGGACAGTTGAACTGAAGGATATTGGAAGTGTCTTCGTGCTTGCCCTTGCCTGGAATCACACGGGGCTCTTCCTGCGAGTCGGAATCGGAGCGCGCAGGCCGAACTCGGGCAGCAATCTTGCGCGCGACACGTTTGGCCTGTCAAGTTGGGTGAACCAACTACATTAACAACCATGATGGCACAGCCGGCGCACCTCGCGTGTTTGACAACTGGAACAGACGGACACTCGCGTGTGGGGAGGAGTTGCACACGTAATCTCCGCTGAGAGATAGAGAGTGTCTTCCGTTGAAGCATCTAGAGAATGATCAGAGCGAGTCGGGGTGTAACAGACGCTGTTTCACTGACCAACTTTGCCCTCTTTGCGAGTCCTCTTCTTGGTCGTGGTGCCCTTCGGCAATCTCAACCACTTCCAACTCCCAACCTTGTCGTACTTGAGCGACTCGCCAGAGGAAGAACTAGCGTGGGCTAGGTCGACCGTGAGACGAATTTGCGTCTCAACGCGAGACTTCGTTCCCCCTTCTGGCAGACTCGGAAACATGATAGGAAGACTGGAGAATGATAAGCTCCTGATTCCACGATGAAGAATTGGAACCACCAGTCCTGAATACAGACTGCCATGTCGGGAAGACACTTGGCCGGAGTGGCAAGCCCTGCGAGACGAAGTCCATAACGTCCCTACCCCACGACTTCTCATGCGCAAGAAGCGTGAACGAATCTCCGGCCGATACTCCGATGAGAATGGACATCATGCCCGAATCTCAAGCTCGCGAACCGGTCCGTCGCGATGATGATGACCGTTGTGGACGACCCTGCCCAGGTGTCGCAGACTACATGGCAGATAGTACGCCAACGCTAGCGTTCCATTCTGCCTATTCTACCGATAGTGAGATGCAATACTCACTTTGAGCAAGACTCTTTCTCCGGAAACACGACTCGCTGCAACGCGGGCGGGTCTTTGCGTATTTGAGCAGGTGGGGGTACCGGTTTAGTGCTAGCGATAGAGGTGTTCTGAGATGCCGGACTGGTAACAGGGCAGAACATTGACTCTGCAGGAACGTCCAGAGCAGCGGGAGTAGCGCTGTTCGTAGTCAATTAGTATCCGCAGTCCATACTGGACGACTGTCGAGACGCGACTCACTCCGAGTACACATGCTCCTGCAGCAAATCCTCCAGATTTAACGAGGGCCTCTCCTCTACTTTGCGGGAGTGTTCTCCAAAGGACAACTGACTGCTGATGAGGAATTCGGTGCTAGGGAGGGATTTGCACCAGGCGGAGAAATCCTCCTGGCTCATGATGGGGTCGCGCATATCGGACGCTTCCGGAGTGGTGGGAGAGGGCGAGGGCGACCTCGAACAAGCGGTCGTCGATGAGGACGACATTGGGGAGGAAGAGACGAGGGAGTGTCGGAAGGAGAGAGTGAGTATGGATTGTGCCGGGCGCGTCGACGGCCCCTATGCCGAGCACATTTTACGTAAGCACGCTATGGACCTGCCAAAGAGCGATCGCTTCTCCAAATTCGTCCAGCCCAGCCCCAACGCAGCGATCCTCCTGTCGATACAACTATTTCTCAGTATTCCTCCCCGGTAAGTCCTAACGCCAAATCACAAGGGGGATAGACTCCATGAGACGGTATATCTCATGAGTTAGCTGGGTGAATGGCAACGTGTCGCAAGGATGGACTCCGTCTGAAATTCACAAACTCCGAAACACGCGCCTGTGGAAAGAGGCACGTGCCAGAACGCAAGCCATGCGACGCGTGCCACAGGCTCAACTTGGCCACAACTTCGTCCTGAACGTTCTTGCCCTCGTCTCAGCCACGTCCGGCGCCGTAAACCACCATGAAGAGAGCTGCGGAGAAGCAGTTGATAAAAGACGATGACGAGGAGGCCGACGACGATTCGGAGGTCCAGGTGCGTACATGACCACAGGGAACTCGGCAGGTTGACCAACAATATAATACCAGGAAGTGCCGGAGTCTGGGTTCAAGAAGGCCGACGAGTCTGTCCTCGCCAAGAGACCGTGCGTCCCTCTGCCTGTGTACCAATATACGTGCTGAACCATTTGCTAGGATGAAAGCTCTTCCGCGACGATCTGGCCTAGCGAACGCTTCAAGTGCGCCTGCTCCCGCTGCAACCACCGCCGAGGTACGTTTGGACCGATTCTCCCGCGAACTACCTTCAACTCGTCCTCTTCAATAGCCTGCAGTAAGTAGTAAATTCTCTGGCTTCTCCGGATTTGGCGCGTCATCCGCCTCGTCCACACCCTTCTCCTTCTCTTCCGCGCCCTCTGCACCCCCCGCCGCTCCGAAACCCACCCCGGCTGTCCCTGCTACATCATCCTTCGCCTTCTCAAGTGCGACCTCCCCTCAGCCATCTTCTCTCTCTGGCGGACCGTCTGTATCGTCTTTGGCGTCTCCTGCCACAAAGGCGTTTGCGTCCATTGTGGGGTCTTCCTCCCCATCTGCAGAGCCGCCTGCTGCTGCCGAGTCGGCTGACGATGTTCAGAACGAGATCAACTACTACAAAGCGCTGCGTGGTCTCAACGTCTCCTTCCTGTCGGCCGTCTCCAAAGCCATCGAGTCGGACCCATTCGTGGACGTTGCGGAGTTGCTTGAACGGTACAAGGCCTTGCGAGTGTCCGTCAAGTCTGACTATGACGACAAGGCCAAGAGCGCACCCAAGATGGCTTCCTCGGAGACGGACCCAGCTCAGCCGCCAAAACCTGCGCCTTCATCCTCTATGCCTGCTCCCCCAGCGAGTTTCGCGGGCTTCAAGCCAATGTCCACGTCCACATCGTCATCGTCCGGCGGCGGGTTCGTCCCTAAGTTCGACAGCAGTGATAGTACCGGTTCATCATTAGGCAGTCCGTTCTCCTTTGGTTCGTCCAAGCCGGCAGCAGAACCGTCCGCTACCTCCGAAGCACCCAAGTCTGCGTTCTCCTTCGGGTCTACATCCACCCCTTCCACCACCGGTTTTGCCGCGGGGTCTACAACGACCCCCACCTCTGCCTTCACGTTCGGGGCACCCGCCGCGTCCTCGAGCACCACCTCAATTTTCGGCAGCAAGCCCCCGACGTCAACATCCTCGACCTCCCTCTTTGGCTCGTCCTCGTCCACGTCCTCGTCCACGTCCCTCTTCGGGTCCTCCTCGTCTTCCTCGTCCATCTTTGGCACAGGAAGCAGCTCCGTCTTTGGCAAGAAAGACGCCGCACCTGAACCCGACGACAAAGAGAAAGACAAAGCCACTCAAAAGCCGTTCACCTTCGGCTCCGGCACGTCCACTCCCTTCGGCGCCTCGAGCTCAAGCACGGGCACAGGCGCGACGACCCCCGAGAAAGACAAGGACCGCTCCGCGTCCGCAACATCCTTCTCATTTGGGTCTGCGTCCCCTGGCAAGCCCTCGCTCTTTGGGGGTTTCGGCGGCACCGCCGCCAAGGCGGGCAGCATCGGGAACCCCGTCGGGTTTGGGTTCGGGAGCCCACCTAAGACGCTGGACGCGGACAGCGGCAGCGGACCCGTCAAGGCATTGCCGTTCTCGTTTGGGGCACCCAAGTCGACGTCAGCGTTTGGCTCCTCGACGTTCGGCTCTGCTTCAGCTCCTGCCTTAGGAGATGGAGAAGGAGGAGAAAAGAAAGAGGGCGAAGAAGAGTCTGCAGACGGCACGCCCGCGCCCGCGGAGGACGGTGCGCAGCCCCCGCCGCTGCTCGCGTCGTCGTCTGTGCACGATCTGGAGGGCGAGGGCGAGGAGGACGAGGTGACGACACATGCGATTCGGAGCAAGGTGTTCAAGATGACGAAGGACAAGGACGGCAAGGCACAGTGGGGTGACCTCGGTGTTGGGATGTTGCGGCTCAAGAAGCACAAGGAAACGAGCGCGAGGCGAGTGCTGTTGAGAAATAGCAGTACGGGCAAGATAACTATCGTGCGTACTTCATCTTTTGCTTGGACGTGGGTGCGCGGTGCAGAAAGTTGGCTGATCACGGTGACGTAGAACTTCATGATGCACAGTGCTATGAATCCCTCCGTCTCAGACAAAGTCGTGTCCTTTATGGGCCATAATGAGGGCGTATCGACGCCATATCGCATACGTTGCAAGACCGCCGACCAGGCCAAGGAGCTCAAGGCCGCACTCGACCGCGAGATCGAGTTCGTGAAGAGCAAGGACCTATGATTCTTACATATCGTGACATTGCATTTGTGAAGGTTTGCATCTGGCACGCATGTATCGAACTTGCGTACATACCACGGCACTCTGCACAACTCCATGCTCATTCACTATACGGTGTGGTATGATATGTCCCATGTGCACGCGCTGCTGCTCTCCTGATAACGTTTTTGTTGTACATGCATAAATATGGCTGACTCATTGTGCTTATGTCCTGCCGCCAATCTTCCACGTCAGTCACTTCTGACAGAAACGATGCACAGTAGTGTCGAGAGGACACGTTGACATCCCCAAACACTGGGCCCCCAGACTGAAGCCGTAGACGCCCACCGCTGCGTAGGGCCGGGACGCCGCCCAGGCGGTGCATGGAACCGCAAAGGTATCATTTGCCTCCAAAGTGGCTCTGCGCATTGTGCCATGTTGAATAGTGCACGAACGCTTCGCTCAGGAGCATCTCGATTTCGTGGTCAGTCCAACCCTGCGTGGGTAGGGACTGTAGGAACATGATGATACCCTCCAAAATAGAGTCAGCTTGACTCGTTGAGAAAGAAATACAAAAGCCTACCTGGAAGTCCATCTCTTGCAGCTTCTTGCTCCAGCGCACGAGGAAAGCCGAGCAGACGTATAGGTGGAATTGAGAGAAAGCATCCGTGCCCTCCGCCTTCGAGCACGCTTCAGCACTGGCACTGTAGAAAGGAAGATGAAGACCAGCGGGACACACCAGATAGGTATCCCACATTCGAATGGTATTCTGCACACTGATTTCCCGCATCAGCAGGCAGTTCATCCACCGGAACGCGAACTGCATGAACTCGACGTTCTCCGCATCTAGATGCGCTGCCAGTGGAGCTGGTAAAAGGTATGCACGATCAGGCTATGCAAGGACGCGCATAGATGCACGGAAACCGGCGACGCACCATCTATTCGAGCGACGAGCTCCGCCATGCGTTTCACGCTCCTCTGGATGCCGGGTTGACCGGCTATGTAGTTGTCCTGGATACCATCTAGAAGCCGTGACAAGCACCAAAAGGTGTCTGCCTCCACGGCCATTCGCACGCTGTCGGAGAGGAGCGCAGTGTCGAATTCCTCTGGGTCGGAGTCTGGTATAAACAGAGGATGAGCGTCAAGGCGCATACACCGATGTTCATAAAAGCGTACCAATGTATGCGGAGAGAAAAACTTGGAAGAAAGGCGTTGCGAGGTCATTGATGCCTTGCACGTAGCCACTGGCTGGATGCCGTATGGCCCAGACGTAAAGTATTCGCTCAAGACTCTGAAGAAATCTGTTGAGACGATGTAGTATGAATAGGGTCCGTGAGGTACGCACCCGCTGAGTGGATTCTTGCATCCATAGTCGCACGCCAGGTCTTGTCCGAGGGACGTCGATCTCGATCTGATGCCAAATCTGCTGGTCAAGACCATCCCGGCCTCGCATGAAGGTAGTTTCCACCAAGGAGGAATATTCACGACGCTTCCTGGCGAGTGTGGATGCCCTGGTAGGTTTTGGAAGAGGGAGATAGCCCAGAAGCAACGGCCAAACGAGCGGGCGCAGCTCGTCTGGGACTCCGTTCCAAGCCAGCTTTCGCAGTTGGGCTGCATGAAGTGAACACGATTGAACTCGTCAAGCTATAGAGCCGCCACATACCGATATCTACGTCCTCGCGGGTGATGCACTCCACGAACTTCCTCCGTCTGTTTGTGCGGATGGAATGTTCACGCATGAGCTTCTCTGAGTCCCCTGGCTGCGAGTCGACCCGGGACGTACTGGACGACCTCCCAGGCTTGGGGTCGATCAGGCGAAGAGGATCTGAGCGTTGGATAAGATGTAAATGAGCACACACAATCCATATGGGCGCACCATCGACTATCTCTTGCGCATCGTCCCTCACCACGCCCTGGTCATATCGCGGCTTCCCGCCGAGCGCACCAGCTCGCTCGTCAGCCTCCGAGTCCATTTCTCCAATGACCATGTCCGCATCCAGCTCTTCGTAGCCTGCACTCTTCGCGACAAAATTGGATTCACGCCCTTCGAGGCTATCGCGCTCGGTAGACTTTCTGACGATCGTCCATCCGTTCTTGCTGGGCGGCTCCAACTTCTCTTTTGGCGGGTATGAGCTCGGTGCAGCGACATGCGTGTATGAGAAGGCGAGTGTAGACGAAGAGTTATTTAGCGTGGGTCTTGGTACAGGCTTTGGAGCCGTCGTTGAGGATGATGCCCGCGCATTTCCCGAACGCTTCCAATCGGGCTTGCTTGTGGATTCAGAGTCGGAGGCACTATCCCAGGCGTCATCTTCCCCCCAGTCGTTGACTACGTACGATGAGAACTTGGTGTTAGGGTTCAAGCCGATGTGAGGGCGAGCGGGAGGAGGACGAGCAGTCATCTCGCGGTCGATGGTAGAGACGGATCTGTCTCCAGATCTCTTCCCTTCGTCTCCCGCAGGCGCTTGCTCACAATGTTCGCTCATTGCCGGTCCAGGCGGATCAGACGACACCCTTGCGGTGTAAGTACCTCCACCTACTTGGCACTACGACTCTCTGCCATAGGTACGCATATGCCATGTGGCACTCTCTCATGCAATTGCAAGCATACGTCAGCATCTAAATCATTCAAACCGACGTTATCATCCGTTCCGGCCGAGTAGCAGGTAGGAAGCCAAATCATGGACACTACGGCGGTATGTTTCTTTCCCAGATGAAGGCATAACTTGAAATCTCGATATGATTGGTTTACTCAAACTCGCGGATGATCGTTTTCAAGATAACGTACGGGGCATAAAGCAGATATTGATACAATAGAGGAGCAAAGATATCAGATGCAGCCAGTCACGATCGCGAATGTCTGAGCACGTTCGTGATTGTGATCGACTTCAAGTTGCCCCTGTCGATCGTCTTCAGCATCGAACTCTAGAGGGGGCTCAGGATGGAAATGTGCTACTCACGTTCCCTTATCCACGGCAGTGACTTGCATGATACCATTCATGTCGAGTCTGAAGGTGACGTCTATTTGGGGCACCCCGCGATGGGCGGGTGGGATGCCTGGCAATTCGAACATGCCGAGTAGATGGTTATACCTCGTCAGACGCTGCTCGCCCTCGAAAACCTTGATGTTCATCGAGGTTTGCCAGTCAACTACGGTGGTGAACATCTCACTCATGCATGTCGGGATGGGGGTATTGCGAGGGATGATCGGCGCCATCACTCCGCCCACCGTCTCGATGCCGAGCGTGAGTGAGTTGACATCAAGGACGGCAAGCATGCAGTAGTCGTCGTCCCCGGCGAGAATCGCGCCTTGGACTCCAGTACCATAGGCAGCTGCTTCTTCGGGGTTTATGGCCGTCGAAGGCTCCTTTCCAAAATAGTCCTTCAAGAGCTGCTGTACCTTCGGGATGTGGGTGGAGCCACCGACCGTGATGATCTACGCACGAGTCAACGTAAGGTACCGCGTCTAACTGACAACAAGCGATAGAGGCTTACGTCGCCGACATCTTCCTTCCTCAGCTTTGCGTCAATCAGCACCTGCTCAGTTAAGAGCATCGTGCGTCGAAATAAGTCCATGTTGAGCTCCTCAAACTTGGCCCTTGTCAGTGTCTCCGAGAAGCCGTGCTCCCCTTCTAGCGCTTCAATGTCAATGTTCGTCGACTGCTGGCTCGACAGCGTTCGCTTCGCCTTCTCGACCTCACTCCTAAGCTTGCCCAATGTACGAAGATTCGAGCTGACGTCAATCCCGGTTCTACTTCTGTGCTGCTTGACGAGGTAGTCGAGGACGCGGTTGTCAAAATCTTCACCGCCGATCTTGGTGTCTCCAGCGGTGGCCAGGACCTTGGAGTCCCCGTCTTTGATAGAGATGAGAGAGACGTCAAATGTACCGCCTCCAAGACGGTATACTAGGACACGCGATGGTTCGCCCCTCTTGTTCAGACTGTAAGCGATTGCGGCTGCGGTAGGCTCGTTAATGATGCGGATGACTTGCAGACCGGCGATTGCCCCAGCATCCTTTGTAGCCTGCCGTTGTGCATCGTTGAAGTCTAGAAAGATTTAGTGAAGATTCAGCACGTGTGGGAGATAGCTCGACTTACGGGCAGGGACCGTGATTACGGCTTGCACAACCCGCTGACCAAGGAAAGATTCCGCATCCTGCTTCATCTTCCGTAAGACCATGGCGGCGATCTCCTCCGGAGTCTGAGGAGACATAAGAAGCATACTCGGAATAAGAACGTGTTCCCAGATGCTCACGAAATTCCGGACGACGCCACAATCCTGAACTTGAATTTTGAGCTTGCCGTCCTCCTGGACGACCTTGAATGGCCTGAGATGTGTTGATCAATGTTGCTCATGGCATATGCTGAGGAACATACCAGTATTTGAGGTCCTTCTGCAGTTCAGGATCATCGAAGTCACGACCGATCAAGCGCTTGACGTCAAAGACCGTATTCTGAGGGTTCGACTGGTATGCATTCTTTGCGCTATCTCCCACACTGAACGATAGTTTAGCGGAAGTGATTCCGCTCAGGGTAGGCATAGACTCACAGTCGTTCATCAGCGGTAAAGCTGACCCACGAAGGGGTAGTCCGCTGGCCTTTCGCGTTGGGGATTATTTCTACTCGTTCACCACGTTTCGCGCTGGCGCATGAATACGTGGTTCCCAAGTCTACAATGTGACGTTTCAGGCTGTCTCAGAGGGCTATGATGAGATGCAGTACTCACCGATCCCTATGACGGGCGGTATGATTTCCAATTCAATCTCGTCGTCGGCAGGAACGGCTTCGGGACCTGCCACCACCATAGCCGGAGCAGTTATCTCGGAAGCTGGTGCAGGCTGGGATCTCATCTCGAAGCCTTCCTGCGCCAATGCTGAGCTGTCAGGGGACAATAGGACGCTGCTAGTTGGACCTGTCGTCGCCGAGAGTCCACCTTTTGCATGCAATGCCGAAGCTCCGGGCGCATTGACATCCATAGGGAGTTCATGGAAAGCTAGGCGAAGAGACTGCGTGGGGTCCGGCTCTCTTGCTGATTCGTCGCCGTGGGCCCGCGTAGGCATGGGGGGAAAGCCAGATCGATCGTAGGTATGGGGAAGAGCTGCCTTGTTCGGTTCGTCAGGCAACGACCCCCCGTTGTCGCGAAGAGAGTGAATCCTCTCGTTCTGCTTGATGGTTGCATGCGCAGTATCCTTTGAAGCGTCGCGAGGAGAAGTGACACCAATAGAACGAGCCTGCAGTCGGGTGACCGTGGGAGCGACATAAACATCCCCGTCTGGAGGGCTTGCTACAGATGGGCAGGTAGGTTAGTGAACTAAACCTCACGAATGGTGTCACATGAGATACGTACAGTATTTTTCCTCACTGCATGTGGAAAAGCCGGCACGCACGCGCGATCTTCGCTTTCGAAGGCAGCAACAGAAGACCGCAAGCAAGACCGCTGCGACGAGGGCGATTCCGCCAATCACGCCTCCCACGATGGGGCCGACTCGAGTAGACGATGATGCTGTCGGCGATGATAGACCCAATGCGGAAGATCCGTTCGTCGTACTTGATGTGGGCACAATGCTTGCTGCAGTTGACGAGCCCGAGCCACCGATCTCAGGGTCAGACGTGTTGAAACTGATATAGTCCAGGAAGTAGGGGGCGTCGGCACTTGCATGCGAGATGTTGATCACCAGGGTGTATTCGCCGTACGGCATGGTGCTAGACTGGAAGAAAGTGACGTTGTCTCGAGGAGTGGATACATCAGGAGCGATGAACTCTTGACGGTTCCCCGAACCGACACTGTAAAGCGAGACGGGCCGCTTGCGCCCATTCGTTACAGGCTCGACGCGGCCAAAAACCGATACCTGTGTGCCTATACCAAGACGTAGTGATGTAGAGTTAACTTTCAAACCCTCTTGTGAAGTATGAAGGTGGGGTGCGACGTACCCCAAAAGGTGAATGTCGCTGAGAGACCTGTACACGGTCCCTCACGAACTTCTCCCCCCGAAACGTTCCGGTCACTTGGAAGATAATGAGCCCTCCAAATGCTCTCATCATCCACGTTGTAGTAATGTATTTGATCGATATCTAGATCGTCGACAATAATTAAGCCAGACATTAGACGATCGGAGGACTGAGGGTCAGATAGTCGGGCTGGGGATATCCAGCTCGTCTCCTATAAAATGGGTGTCCTTGGTAGCTGCGGTAGTCCAACTAGACCAGCGCCCCCATGAACTCTGCTATGTATGGTTCCCGCCCAGACGCATCCAACTTAATAGTCAGCCTCGAGGTAGAACTGCAGCCTCATTTGCTGACCACCTACTTCCATTGCGGTCGAGCGTGGGAGCCGTTCGTCTACGCGGTCTTTGCGTGCCGCCCAAGTCCTGCATGAGAATGATTGAACAAGACTACTCCAAAACGCTATATGGGCAGGAACGTGGAGAAGCAGAGTACAAATGACTCACGTGTTGCTGGACCACGGGAGAAGACGTTGGAAGTTCGGATGGACGATCTTCGCTCGCCGAATCAGCACGAGGTTGAGCCAGAATCGCTGTATTGACGTCTGAATCCCCTTCCATGTGCTCCAGCATGTACACTTGTGAAGCCGGAGGGATACCGCTATTGGGTAGAATGTCTTCAATGGTACTAGATATGTTCACTTCGTGGTGCTTCAGACGGTGCCATTTCCTCAGCGGCTGGCATCGTGTAAGGTGGTGTGCAGCGTACGGGAAGCAAACGCGAAATTTGGGAGCGAATGCCCGGGCGACGGCGGGACTTCGTTTGCTTTCGGGCATCAATGAAGTAGATGTGCAGCGCTACATACAATCTCTGTGAGCAGTCAAGATAACGGGTCTGTCCTGAGTGAAGCTGTCTGGATACACACTATTAGAAGCCTCTTGACTGCAGACGGTAGGTCACGGTGGATGTGCGCATATATGTAACCTATTGGCGTCTAGCAAAGACGGACTCATGACACCAATAGAGCATGTTGCACATCATTGTGACCTCGTCGCGGCAGTTAAGCGCGCGTCTAAGCCCCAAGACCGTCTCGGACTAAGGACAGACGCAAATGTCAATGATGCTGTTGTACTTCTGGTACACTCAGGGATACGACTGGCAGTTCACGGAAATCGAGGGGATGATCATTGCATCCTATGTTCGGGAATGTGGGACGCCGAAAGCGCAGTGGAACTTACGAAACTCAGGACATTGCATGCTTGAATTGGGAACTCGGAACAGCGCGCACATTATCAGAACATAGTATCGTGACTAGAAAGAGTATTGGTGCTACTGTACAAGTATCGAATTACGAGTATACATGACGCGCCTGTTCCAATCAATTGTTGTTCACGCTGGGAACCTGCTCACGGATCCATTCCCCGAGAGTCTCAGGGTTCCTCGATTGGATGTACACGACACCAGGACCGGTGAACCTGACATCAACGTGTAAGAAAACGACCCACTGATAAAAACGGATGCTATGAGCCAAGACCTACCGGCAAACTAGGCCCTCATCGGTGTGCGAAGCGGAGAAAAAGCCTCCCGCGTCGATGCGCTCGACCTTGTACTGCGCCGTCCACGCAACAAGATGACCGTTGTCAACTGAAAAGTTACGTCAGGAATTCATCCCGCGCACGACATGCACCGCTTTGCGTACCGATCCACTGCTCACCAGGTTGGAGAGTTCGCGAGGTGATCGCGCCCAAACTCTGCACCCACATGACGCCCTGGCCAGCGATGTTATAGACGAAGAGACCCTCGCCCGAAACTGTACAAGGACATCAGCGACCTCGATTCACAGATGAGATAACTCCTCAAGGAAGCACTCACACAACGCCTTGCCGAGCCCCTGACTCTTCGTCGAACGGGTGACGCCCATAGTGCATGCGAGGAACGCATCTCTGCCGACGCGCCAGTTCTGCGATCCATCAAGGCGGATGGGCACGACGTCACCCCAGATCTCAGGCGCAAGAAGCACTTCTCCAGGCCCGGTGAAGATGGACTCCGACATCTACACATGCCGCATTGCTACATTTCAATCGCCCGCCCGACGCTAGCATAGGCCAAAGGGGACCAGTCGAAAGCGTACCTCGCCGCCCGTGAATATCTTCTTCAGGCTGACCTTCAGCTTGCCCTTGATCTGCACAGACGCGTCCATGGCGACCATGCTGCCTGGCTTCGCCTTGATTTGGTAGCCCGGCTGCAGGCGCAAGGAGAGCATGGAGTTGCTGTCGCGGTGGTCGACGCGGTATTGCGCGCCCTCGACCTCGCCGGTGGACGGGAGCGTCTGAGAGCCACCCTGGTATTGCTGAGGAGGTGGTCCGCTCGGGTAGCCCTGCGGCGGCGCCGGGGAGCCATATGGCGCCTGTGGCGGCCCGCCGGGGTAAGAGGACTGGTGATGAGGGGGATGTTGGCCATGAGTAGCGGCGCCGGGGTAGCCACCACCTGGCTGGGGGTAGGATGGTGCGTAGGACATTCTGCTCAAGCAAGCGGTCAGCACACATTGTGGCGTCGATGGAGGTAGAGAAACCTTACGCAATAGTCAAGATAGAGCGAGAGATACGATTCGAAGGTGAGAGGTCTGGAGACCTACCAGGCACGAGTAAGTAGCGTTATATATCGAATACGCTGATTGCCGCTTTAGAGCGGTGGTGGAGTCGATGGAGGCGATGTTTTGATATCGTCCGCTTGATGGAAGCCCGGCTCAATCAGTAAGAGGAAGTAATATCAGGGTGCACGATGACAGCGGTGACAGAACACATCCGTATAGTGCACCGCCGCATTCAATGACCTCGGTGATATGTACGTACCTGATACCTGCATACTCACTTACAGCAGCTGGGGGCCCGGCGATGCAGAGGCGATGGCAAAACCCCTGAACCGGGAAACGCCGGACACAGGCTGCATCCATCTGGGATGGAGAACAGGTTTCATATATGAGAATGCCCTGGTGGATGTGTTTCCAGGTCAGGATGCTCTCTTGGCGTCCTGTGGCTCACCGTTCAGCAGCGCTCTAGGCTATGGTGAGAGTCAGACAGTCCACCTGTTCCACCGCAAAAATCAGCGTCGCTAGCAGAGAGATAGTATTTGCCCGCCAAATCCAGCCTTGTCATAGGCGGAGATCGTGGGACGTACATAAGTATGTACGGACTGGCTGACATGCAGGAAAACATCATGGGCGGCCGGCTATCTAGCCAAAGATAAGATAGGCGCCTGTGATCGCCCCGCTCCACAGCAGACATGACAAAGGGGTGCTGATGGTCGGCCGATTCACCAGCTTGGTCTCACCTCCTCGCACACTCACGGACAACGCAAGACTTGCTCTGAATCCGCGCAGCAGAGAACAGTTCCTTCCAAGACACCACGCTGCCTGCCTGTCTGACAACTTGGCTCTTTGACGTCATATCTGGCTGGACTCCAGCACCCACCGCAACCGCGTCCCCCTCAACTTCTACCACACCATCATGCCCGTAACACCGTCTGCCGTAGTGGATGCGATGACGGCCTCTCAGTCGCGCGAGGCCGCACTCCATGGGTACGTATACCATCTCACTCGTTGCAACACCCCGCCGCTCACTGACCGGTCGCACATCCACCCATCCCCCCTTCTCTTGCAACTCGTGCACACACCCCTCGCAGCCATCGCGCCCTCACACCCATTCTCTCCGGCATCATCTCCGGGGGTATCGTCGGCGTCGCCTGGATCATCGGCATCATCGTCTGGGCCTTCAAGCGGATCCGCCGCGCCCGCCGCGCGAAAGCCGCCGGCTTCCGGAGCTACCGCGAGTTCCTCGACCCGCCCAAGCTCAAGGACCCGTTCATCATCCCCCCGGACCCCGCCGTCCTCCAGGGCCAGGTACAGCCCGGGCAGAAGGTCGTCATCGAGAAGGAGAAGGGGGGGAAGGACAAGGCGAGGGTGCTCAAGCACGCGAACACCGTGCCCATCGTGCGTGTGGAGGATTTCAGCGACGAGCAGTCTGGGCGTGAGGCGAACGGATACGGGGGCGGGAGTCCAAGCACGCTGAGTTGTGGTGCGAAGGCGGGTGTTCCGCCGGGGATGGAGCACAATGCGTCTGCCCCGGCGAGCATCCCGTCGCCAAACATCGTGAAGGCCAGGAAGAGCGCAGGGAACTTGAGCCTCAAGCGCGACACGTACCCGCCACTTTCACGAAGCTCGACAGACAGCCAGCGACCTATGGTGAAAGCCCCAGAAGACCACCAGTAGCGGAAGCGTCGTCTGCTGGAAACTGGCCCGATGTTGCTTTGCCTATACTGCCGCAATTCATTCCTTCCTCCCATTCCACGCACTTGCGCCCAGACTTCATTCCTTCACCGGGATGATGTACATCTTAGGTGACATTATATCAGCACATTCACGATGATTACGTTTCGGCTCGGACGGTGTTGTAGCAACATAGGATAGCGTTTGTTGGATTGTACACAATTTGAGGTACAGCACTTCTAATTCTTTCTCCGCGCTCCACAACCATGACCCAAGTTTCGATGTCAATCGGTGTACGCGCCCACGTTCGCAGGCTGTCAGAAACACACACACACACACACACACATTACCGATCAGACACCCGGGCCAACGACGCAACCGCAGAAGAAGACTCACCGCGACGTCGCGCGCGTAGCGGTACAGGACACCGCGTTTCTCGGTGTACTCCCGCTGAACCCACTTCTCGCGCCTGCGCTTCTGCTCCTCCTCGGAAACGAGCCAGTCGATCGACCGCTTCACAGCGTCGATGACGATCTCGTCGCCGTCTTCGACGAGCGCGATCGGCCCGCCAACGAATGCCTCCGGGACGACGTGACCTGTAGGGCGCCGGCAGTGAGCAGCTGCGAGTAGACTCTATGACAGAATGGATAGGAGCGAGTGCGCACCGATGATAAACCCGCGAGAGGCACCTGAAAAGCGACCGTCGGTAATGAGCGCGGTCTTGCCGCCGAGACCCGCTCCCATGAGGGCGGCGGTTTGACCCAACATCTACAGTTCGCAGTCAGCATCGTGAGACTCGACCGGACGTCGTGTGCACGACGGCAGCGGGAGTAGTGATGCGAATACGCACCTCTGGCATGCCGGGGGCGCCCTTGGGACCCTGGTACCGGAAGATTATCGCCATTCCTGCGGTGACCTCGCCCCTCTCGAGTGCGTCGAAGAACGGCGGGATGCTACGCAACAGCTCCTCATGAGACCACCCCATCCTCATGGAGTCTACGTTCGGACGCACCTATCGAAGCACTTCGCGATGCCCTTGAACTGCAGCCCCTCCTTGCCCGTGATCTTCGCAACGGCGGTCTCCGGCGCGAGGTTCCCGCGGAGTATGGCCAGGTGGCCGGTCTCCTTGAGGGGGTTGCTCAGCGGGCGGACGACGTCCTGGGTCGTGAAGTCGATGTCGGGGACGTCCTCGAGGTTCTCGGCAAGCGTCTTGCCGGTGACCGTCAGCTGGCTGCCGTCGATGAGGTCCGTGTTCTTGAGCAGGTACTTGAGCAGCCCGGGGACGCCACCGACTTTGTGGAGGTCCTCCATGACGTACTTGCCAGAAGGCCTGTGCGTTTGGTATCAGTATGAAAGTGTCTCGAGGAGAGAAAGGGGAGGGATGGATATACTTGAGGTCAGCGAGCCAGGGAGTCTTGTCGGTGATGGTCTGGAAGTCGTCGATGGTGATATTGACGTCCGCCGCACGGGCCATGGCGAGCAAGTGCAGCACGGCGTTGGTGGAGCCTCCAAGAGCGTTCACAACGACGATCGCGTTCAGGAACGAGTTGCGAGTGAGGATGTCCCTACGACCAGTCAATGGGTGTGTGCGCATAGGCAAGCATGAGAGCCATACTTCGGCTTGATATCAAGCTCGAGGAGGCGCTTGAGGTAGCCAGCAGCCTTGATGCACTCCTGCGTCTTCTCGGCGTAGGTCGCAGGGATACTCGCTGAGTAAGGAAGGGAGAGGCCGAGGACCTCCAGAACGGACGACATGGTGTTCGCGCTGCGAGCATGAATAAACATGGGCTGTATGCGCTCGCGCGGGGAAGGAGTAGCGTATGACGTACGTGAACATACCACCGCAGGCACCAACACCAGGGCACGAGTTGCGGACGACATCGAGGCGCTGTTCCTCTGTGATTTTCCCAGTAGCGAACGCACCGTATGATTCGAAGGCATCGGCGATGTTCATGTTTTCTCCAGCCTTGAAACCCATGTGCGGGCAATCAACTGTACGGACACCAGGCTTTATAGTACCACCGTAGATGATGATCGTCGGACGGTTGTGACGAGCAGCCGCAATAACACAACCGGGCATGTTCTTGTCGCAGCTGGGACGACACTGCTAAGCATGGACATCATACATGATGATGGGGCAACCTACCCGGGGATTTGAATGTTACCATCGTAGTGTTGTGCCTGTGGAAGGCTTTGAGAACCGCTTGGTTAAGAGACAAATTCGAACGTACCATGACCACAGTCTCGATCGAGTCCGCGATAAGATCACGACTCGGTAGCCTGAAAGGTATCTACTCAGCCAGCAGAAGCTGTACTATAGTGCGACCACTCACGAGTAGCGCATACCATCGGTACCCATCGTAATACCATCGCTGCGAGTCGTCAACAAGCGTCCATGCTACTGCAAGGTGAATAAACAAACCTGACCCCGATGGTGCTGAATGTCAAGCCGACGAGGCCCTCTTGCTTGCATCCTTCCTTGACATGCCTGGCGAGATCAAGCTGCGAGGAGCGCGATGCCCTTCAACACAAATATACTTAGTTGTATCCAGGCAATTGAAGACGCACCAAGTGATTGTTGCATGGGTTGCCTTTGCAGATGTGAGATGCAGACTAATTCACTGTCTTGACCGAAACAACTCACCCTCCCACCAGACCGGAGATATGCCAATCTGCACTCGTCAAACCACGGCACGCAGAGCCGACATCCGAATGAGCGGGAGTCCCTCCAATTCGTAGAAGGTGTACACACCTGCGGCTTATCCAAGTCCTCTGGCGTAACGCCCACGGCGTGCACTGTCCCATAGTCCCATATATCAGATGCTCGTTATAAGAGAAGGAATGGTAGGTGACATACACATCGCCTGGGCGCCTCCGCGCCTCTACGAGGTTTGTTAGCCGAAGACGTCATGGGCATATGAAAGCGAAACGTCGTCCGAACCTTGTCCTGAGTGAGGTAACTTGAGTATTTGTTCAACTTCGCGCCATTAGGATTGCTGGGCGAAGAAGGTTTGACCGAATGACTATCCAAATCGCATGAATTAGATGAGCTCAGTCAGGGCGCGCGAAGATCTCGGGGTAAGAGACGTCCACGTACATTTCGACGTCTCCTGCGTGGGCGGACATGGCGGCGGTCGTGCTAGTCAAGAATCAGGAAACAAGAGACTAAGTCCTCGTCGTCTGCAAACGTGTGCAAGCCGTCGATGGTCGCGCGGCCAGAGCTATAAGGAAGACCTGAATATTTGCACCGCGCGACATCTGACCCCTGTCCTTCTCCCGCTCGCCCGGCGGACCGGCCAGGACGGTAGATATTCACGTCAGATCGATCTGCAGCACGCAATTCCTGCTAGCTACGGTCTCTGAACGTCTCGATCGTGATATCGCCCCTCATCTTATCGAATCCTGCCATCGCTATTGGCTCCTTGGCTTCACCGGTCGAATTCACTCCGTTCTATAGGCTGAACACTACTTGCGTTACTATACTGTACAAACAGCTGCAAGATAGTTCACTGTGCTTAGTCGAGCTAGAATACAGGGAACATAGCGCAACAAAACACGTTACGACTCAATGACACATAGCGATGCGTACGACCTCGACGCCCGCTGGGATCCCGTCCTGCGCTCTCTTCGGAAAGTCAGAAGTCGAAGCCCTTGTCGCGGAATGCCTCCAGGTTCGTCTCCGGCCGAGCCATATCAGCCAGGTCCATCCGGTCCTGCAGATGACCCACGTGTGAGCCCGGGAATTGCAAGCAAAGGGCGAACGTGCTTACCATGGCTTGGAATGCTCGCCGGAGCGTCGTCCACAGCTGCTCGCTCTTCCCGCCCCCAGACGACTCTTGCAATGCGAGCGCGCTCAAGAAGTGCTCGATCGCTTCCTTGTGTGCACCGATGTTCAGACCTAAATACAATTTCGGTCAGGAGGTCAAGAACGGTCATAAGAAGCAGATACGAACTCGTAGTACTCACAGGCTACGCCAACGTTATAGATAGCGCGGGTATACGTGGGCCGGAGCTGTAACGCTTCACGGTACGCACCCAAGGCCTCTTCGGGCTTGTTGCCATTCGACAGGCACGAGCCCAAGCGGTTCCAAAGGAGGTAGTCCTTGGGCCGCATGCTCAGCGCGGCCTCGAAGCAGTCCTTTGCGCGGTTGTAGTCGCCGCTTGTGTAGAACAGCACCCCTAAGCCGATCTGAACGTCTGGATCGACTTCGCCGCGTGTGTATTGCTCGCGCGCGATAGCGAGGTACGCTTCGGTGACCTGTTCTTGAGAATGCCACGAGGATAGGCTCAGCGACTTCCACTGCTCTTCTGAGATCTTGGCGTCGGGGAAGCGAGCGTGCAGCCAGCGCAGAAGCATCGTGTGCGATGCCCTTTCCAGTGACTCATTCGTATACGCGATAGCAAGAGACTGTATCCAAGAACCATCAATAGAGCGGAGAGGATATGAGCCGTATCGCCACTCACAAGCATGCCTGCACCTGCAGCGCCGGCTGCCTCTGCCCGCTTCACACCCTCGCTGAGCGCGCGCATAGCTGCATCGTCACGCTCGTCCATACTCCTCGTCTCCCCGAGCAGGATCCATGCCTCGTAGCCGCCCTCGCCAAGATCGCCATGCTGAATAGCCGCCTCCAGGAGTAAGGCGGCCTCCGAGAGTGACCCATTCTGTGCGAGCAGATCTTTGGCCTGCTGTAGCGTTGACCTTGAATGGGTCGGGTCAAGAAACTTGTTGCCCTTCTCTGTAACAGGCGCAAGTAAGAACGCATGATCAGCACATGCAGGCCGGCGAACATACCAAACACGTATTCTCCCAGCGCAGGGATACCCTGATCGTCAAACTCGAGCACAGGGTCCGCCGAGAACTCAGAATTGCCCGTGCTGTCCCAAGCTTTCTGCATCATCCCACCATAGTCGAAATCGAGGTCCTCCCGCTGCGCGTTCATCATCTGATTGAACTGCGCCTCCCATTTCGCCATCTCTTCCTTCGGCGGCGGTATATCCGAGTTTTGCAGCTGATCCCAGACCCTACATCCCAATACTATGCATTCAGTACACCGACACCGAGAAAGGATACGCGCGAAGCGGGAAACAGCTTGTACGTACTCTTGGAAATTCGTTTCCTCATACGGCACATCCTCTGTTGCCTTACTTTTCCCTTTATCCAAGCTCGCACTATCGAGGCCCTCCGCGAGCTGCTCCAATTCGTCGTCCGTCACCTCCGTTATCCGCGCACCTTCAGTTTGATCCGCAAAGGACGCGTGCACCTGCGCGAACGCCGCGTCGAAGTCGATATCGCGTGCCTTGCCCTTCCCGTGGTCCATGCTCATCTGCGACATGCCCATGCCCATGCCATATGACATACCAACGGGCATGCCCCGGCCATACAAGCCGGGTTGCATGTAAGATGTCTGGTTGACTGGCATATTCGGGTAAGCACTAGCGTCATGAACATAACGTCGAACCAAAGAGGGAGGCAAGACGACCGGGGGGAGGAATAGATGACTCCTCAAACCAGATACCTGCAAAACATCTGACGACGTGACTTGTTTTAGGCATTGTAGGTGCCACTGCCAAGCATGAAGCGCAGCTGTCTGGCACGCAATGTGTCATGTCGCGCTATCAGCGCGGGACGCGCCCTGAGGCCGCCATAATGTGCTTCGTTTGCTGGGCCAAGGGATCCGGATGGTGGCAATGTGCGCCTACCTGCTCGCAAGGCACAAGTCGTCCTGCGCGCGACAGCCCGCAGCATGCTACTGACTCATCTCGAAGGAATTAGAGAGCAGGGGGTGAAGGGGTCGCACAAGAGCTGGTGGGCGCACGTCAACTGTTCACGTCAACGCACTGGCTAGCCGAAGCCAGGCAGCTATGCACGTCGTTGCTTACGGAAGCCCGGCACTCCGTAGGAGTCCCATGTCCGTCAACTCGCTCACGGCCCCTCATCAGAAGGCTAGACACGATTGGCCCGTGCCCAATGACAGGACGCCCACCAGGGTGTCATTTCGCCAATGCATCTTGCGCAGTGCAACGGGCGCACGACGAGAAAGGGGTAAGGAGCTACTCACAGTTGGATTGCATCGGCATGTTCTGCTGACTCGAAGGTCGCGCGATCTGAGAAACACCATCGAATTCCGCGCTCCATCCGCCGCTAGCTGTATGCGAACGTAACATCTCTCCGGGCACAGCGCGCCCAGCCTGCATCTCGTTCCAGGCCTTGGTGAGGTCAGGTCCCGCTTGTGCAGGGGCGCTCATGAAGCGTTCCGGCTCATGAGGCATAACGTGGCGAGGCACAGCAAACGAAGGAGGTGCGCCGGCCTGTTGCGGCCCACCCTCGAAGAATTGGCGGGCCATGGCGAGATCTTGCTGGGATCCATGTGGCGCTGAAGAGGTGGGTAGATGGTGAAGCTGAGAGAACGTGAGCGGAATTGTCGTGCAGATCTGAGACACGCGCACCCTTGAGCCGGATGGTCCAGCGACCCTATCCTGAACAACATTCAGCGGGGTCCAGTCTGCATTTGACGAACCAGAGGGACACACCTGCTGCAGACTCCGATCGCCCTCGGTGTGCTTCACGACCTGCGAGAGCGGATTGAAGGGCACCGCGCATTCCGCACCAGATATAAGGCCTTGTAGAGACATTGTGACAACCGAGATGATGATGAGATGAAAGGCAGGACTGGGCCGGGAGGTGACGGTGTAGGTATAAGAGGAGGGCTGCAGCAGAATGACAAGTGCGTAAATACACCGGGATCCGGGAGTGTGGGGTCGGGTCGGGGTTTGCCGAATTGAGCAGTCCATGTGAATCCTTCCGGCGCGCGCCGCCACACCGCCGCACTCGCGACAGGCTCACATTTCAATCCCTATGTACTCTAAAATTCTTCTGGTGCTCTCTTCGGGAAATCTGCATCAGGTGCAAGGTAACTCAGATTGAGTCTTGAGCTACACCCAAGACATGCGCTCTCATCGCACCTTACCAAATTGATCCGCTTCCAGTCTAGGTGGTTTAGTGCAATCACCTTGACTTCATTGTACCTACTTTAAGATGCGACTTGATTGCCTAGGTCTTTGTCCCTAGATGCCATCGCCACGAATACCAGATGAGCCCAGAGAAGTCTCACTTGAGCGTCCTTCGGCATATAATCCAGAATATCCACCGCCTTCCGTGCCTTCTTCTTGCCGACTCGGAACCAGGGAACATCAGCTGAAGGTCATTGCGGTGGCCAGAGGTAGAAAGGCAGCGGTCGATGTGTGTATGGGACGTAAGAATGGAATTCCGGTGGCTAAGGTAAGAGCGTTCGAAGTGTCTTCCTTCGTCAATGACGCTTCGTCCAGCTATGCCGTGTATCGCAATCAACACCAATAGGTGCCATTCGCATACAAAGCCGGCTTGGGGTATCGACCTGCCGTGGTTCCTTGGTTGTTTGGCTCGGGGATCCTGGTCCAGGCTTCGATTGGAGCACTGGCACAAGGCCAAGATACAGCGCTCCTGCTAGGGTACATTTAATATACTGTCAGGTCTTGGTGCGTGCTCGCGTGTGTGCAGTGCTTTTGCGTGTATCATCCGGGTGGTAATAACTCGATCTTCAAGTGAGGATGAAGACGTTGGGACAACGAAATACGAGATAAGCGAACCGTTACAGTGAAACCCTGGAAGCTTGAAGTACGAAACCGAGCTGATCTAGACGCTAAGACCTGAAAACAGGATCACGGACTTGAACGCACGACGCGCGACCTTGCACGCCTATTTTTTGTACAGATGCACCGTCATAGATATCCCTTCATACGCGGTCCCTCGCGGCAACTGAACTCAAATCCAAGTGTCTGCAGACTGCGAACAACATACTTAGTTGATCGCGGTGCTGTCGCTAGAGAACAAGGGCACTTCCCGGCTAATTATCCTCAAGCTTGATTCAATATTGGCGAGCGCTCATGAGGATCACCGTACCCCAGTTACACGCCCACTGCGGAAGTGTCACGCTCACCTAGGTCAATTTTGCCGAATCACGGCACCTGGCAATCGCTCCATACATAACTTGCTTACCCCCTTCAGGATCGAGCAGACAGTCTCTTGCTCTTCCATCTCGTTCGTCTTACCTGTCCACTCCTTACTGAAGTAATTTTGCATCCTTTTTACAACGTCTTACGGCGATGTTGAAAGCCGGTTGGGCAGCGGTCGCAGTTTTCGCGTTCGCTAACTCAGTATTGACTGCGCAAGCACAAACTTCAAGGCTCTCGAAGTGGGCACCTTGTCCGCAATTTGCCGATCTGTCCTGCGCATACTTCGACGTCCCACTGGACTACCACAACACATCTGCTGGTAACGGTCAACTGCTTGTCGTGAAAGCCCCTGCCACTGGCGAACGCAAAGGCACAATCTTTCTGAATCCTGGTAAGCTACCAGCGTTCAGTGGCCTACTATGCCTGCGTTCCACTCTAACATTTGACCATCAGGCGGACCGGGCGTATCAGGTCTCACGTCTCTATCCACAGACGCGGAGGCTTTGATGAATCGTACGGGGGGTGCCTATGACTTCGTCAGCTGGGATCCCCGCGGTGTCGGCCCCTACACTTAGTACGCCTTTTCCAAAGTTGCACCCAACAGTATCCGCTGACGTAGCGAACGTAGCCCAGGAAATGTTTACTGTATTCCCGACGATGAATACGCCAGCTTTTGGAATGGCACCATCGAGTCGACAGGCATTCACCAGATCGGCAACTTCACGAACCAAACCGACATACAGGCCCTCTATTCCCAGGCTCCGGTTCTGGACCAGAAGTGGAAGGAGCTCGGGGACCGCTGCTTGTCGGGACCCAACGCCACTACCCTGGGCTACATCGGTACCGCGGCGACCGTGCGCGATTTGGTCGGACTCGCGGATGCCATCGTAGGTCCAAACAGCACAATCAACTATTGGGGTCTCTCGTACGGTACTTTAGTTGGCGCGTGGTTCATCAACAGTAAGTAATCTGGCGGTGAATTGTTGGATGGTTTGAGCTGATAGTTGCTTCCCAGTGTTCCCTAATCGTGTCGGCCACGTCATCCTTGATGGAGTGCTCGATGCTACCAGGGTTGCCACTACTCAGTCGTACAAGGTATCGTAGCTTCCCTGGCCCTATCAATATTGGGTGCTGATCCTGGCTTTTAGCTCTGGCGTGACCAAATCGGATCGGCCGAAGACGCGTATACAGCATTCACCAACGCCTGTGCGCTGGCGGGTCCTGACAACTGCAAGCTTGCCACTTCCGCCAACGGCACCGGTCAGGATGTCGTCGACTATGTCAACCAGGCAATCACGGTACGCGTCACTTCTTAAACCAGAATCACAGCTCAAATCTTGACTGTGTACACCAGCTTGCGCACGACCACCCTGTTGCAAACCAGCTCTTGATACTTCGTGGTATGTCTGTTGCACCTTGTACTCAGCAACGTTGCCGATACTAATATATGTCCATTGACAGCGACCATGTACAGCAGTCTCTACCAGCCCCAACAATGGGCCGACTATGGCAATGATTATCTTCCTCAAACCATTGCCACCATTCAGAACGCGACTGCCGGCGGCAACACCACCGCATTGACGAGGTATATCAGCACCAAACCCTGGAGCACACCATATCTAATCGTAATGTTGCGATGCAGACGAGAGCAAGTATTCACTCAGAACAGCTACACCGAGCCTGCCGTTGTCTGCGCAGACAGTGTTGACGCGGATCCATCGGTAAACACGACGGTCATTTTCGACGACATTGTTGACATCGTCCGCACCGTTTCTCCATCATGTAGGCCTTTCATCCGATGGTCTCACAATCCTCGTTCCTTCCGTTGATCTGCATGATCAGTTGGCGCTGTGGGACCCGTGCCTTGGCAACGCTGCTCATACTGGCCCGTTCGTGCCCCGGAGCGCTACCAGGGTCCCTTCAACCGCACCCTAGCAAATAAGGTCCTCCTGATTGGCAATGCCGTACATGTTCCGTTCATGATTCCGTAGGGACATCTGCTGACAGCAGCGCAGTACGACAACGCGACACCTTTCGCAGAAGCCGCACATCTGGCTGCCGTGCTCGGCGACCAGGCGGCACTCGTGAAGCAGAATGGCTTTGGGGTGAGCGGTACTGATTGACATAGCTGTATTAATCGATGCTAATGCCTGAATATACAGCACACTTCCATCTATCAGTCATCTGCTTGTGTCACTGACATTATCACGGCGTACCTCAACGATGGAACCGTAAGTCAATTTTCAATTTTCTCTCGAAATCATGTTGCATATTGCAGATGAATGATCGACGCGCGTCCAGCTCCCGTCTGGGACATCGTCGGATTCCACAGTGTGTGCCATTGACAGCTCTGTGGAACTCTTCTCGGGTGTTGAGTCCGTGGATGTCATCGTCAACGGTACCGACCTGTCACGCAGGGATTGAGCCTCTTCATACAAGATACTTGGTAGGTATGTCGATAGGGAGACAAGTAATATACGACGCTACCAGCCCAACGTTTGGGCTGCATACATGTTACCATCAATACCCTATATTTTGTCACCTGCAATGCGCCTGCCTCAAGTATCATGACTTCAGCGGGAGCCGGGCAGTTCGCCTCATTGGGGTAAGTTCATGTTCTCTGTTGGGCTATCAGAATCAACAGTGGCCTCTTTGATCTCACGATCTCCGTTGCAGAATGGTTGAGCTGAAGCTAGTCACTGAGGAAGAGGTACACGAAGGGGTCATAGTCTAGACTCAGGTGGAAGGAACTCGCGCCACCGTGTAATGAACGCCGTCCAATCAGCTGCTCCAGGAGCCAGTGTCTTCCCACCAGGTGAGAAGGCCCCATGGGACACACAATCCTTTCGCTCGGTGAACGAGGACGAAGTTAGCGGCAAGTGAGAGAAAAGCTCTTAAGGGTTCTTGGACTGTCGGAGGAATTGCAATTGACCCTTTCGAGGACCTCTCAAGGGAGTATTGGCCTGCCCGGCGAAGACTGCATGGTGGACAGCGTCAAACCCTGCGAATGGTTTGTGGCAATCCAGGCGGTCTCATACAAGACGCGCCCACCGGCGCGCCCATCACCTATAGCGCTAATTACGCAGGTGGCAGTTTGATGGCGGTGAGAGCTCCTAGTATTTCACTGTACCACTAGATGATGTCACGACCTGAACAGCCTTGTCATTAATAGTCGGAGAGCAACAATCAGTCAAAGCACATTACCGATGGTCCCAAACAGTCAAGGTTGTACGTTTGGCAGCGCTCAGCGCCATACCGTTGCCAAATGGGACACAAACTTCCTCTGATAGACAACCGAGGGTGCGACGACCTTGAAACATCGATTGAGTCGTTACAAGCTAGAATCAAAGTACATGGGAAAGCCATTGAAGCCATTAGATCAGCACCAAAAAACATTCTTTCAGACCGCCAGCTAAATTGTCTTCGCCAAGATCTCGCCTACACGATGTTCACCGTTAGTAGGGTCACGATGCCGTCGACAGCGATTCCTGCACAAACATGAATTGATATGATTGCAAGAGCGTCACAGCTTTTGAGATGCGTACCGTGATTCACACCCGCAGAGCCTGCGGGCATGAGGCCCGTGATATTCTGCGCCGTCGTCGAGTACGTGACGCCGCTGAAGCTCGTCGTGCCAAGCGCACTCTCGACCAACAAGTTACGCCCAATGTCGTACCCGTCTGGGACTATGGTGTGATTTTCCTCCAAGTCCTCCTCCTTCGAGACCCTGCCGAAGCGGTTACCATCCATTCGGTGCCCTTTGTTGTGAAGACAGGACTCACGCGAGAAAAACAGCACCGCTGTCAGCCGTGGGGCCGTTCTGGAAGAACACCCGGAAGTGGTTCCCACCTATGAGGGATTCTAGACAGGTACCAAGGGCTGGATCCCCGAAGTCTTGGCGGAGCTCGACGCTCTGGTTTACGGCACCGTGCCCGTCACCCAAGTTCGCAGAGAAGGGGTTGCCAAGATGGATGTCGAGGCACTCCTGGGAGCTGTACATCATTTCAGAGGAACTCAGCATCGGCTTGACAGCACGATGAGAAAGCATACAAGCCAATCGCCCTGGCAAAGTTTGTCACACCGTCGAGGGTCAGGACGTCAGGGGAACTGAGCCCCGAGATGATGACCTGTTGAAGCCAAGAATAGCTCTTTCAGAGAGACCCCTGCATATGGGAAGAACACGAGCCTGCCTGACGCACGTTTAATGGTTCCCCAAGGCCATTGCCAGCGTCGATGAACATAGAGCCACCGCCGAGTACTGGGTCGAAGAAGGCGGCAGCGCGTTTATCAAACACCGCACCCAAAGCGTTGGTAGCGATTAAGACGGAGGCAGAGAGGCACAACACAGCGAGCTTGTAGGAAAGCATGACTGCGGAGCGTCGAGGGACAGTCCTGAGGTCAGACCCAGAGATTCCACCGCTGACCGACTACGCTGCGCAGAATATATACCCTTTCCTCCCCATCGTTGTACAGTCCAGACCGCAAGAGCAAGATAGGTGTGAAATGGGATCTTGCGCCATATGAGGCTTCAGCGTACACGCGAGAGGGGCGGAACGTGCCTTGCTTCCTTTGCAGCGATTAGTCGGTTCGAATAGCCCTTCCCATGGATCGTGGCACGAAGCCGGTAATGACCGATGAGCCCGAGGCAAAGGGCGCACTATCTGCGCCGAAGTCGAGGTCAGCGCAGGATAGAGTACAGACAGCCCTTAGAGTTGCTCACCTCTAGGTCTTGCATCCTCGGGCCCCGGTAGGTCCGCTTAGACTCTTCATTGATGGCGGCGGGAAAGGTTTGCAGAAGATCAGATCCGGGCTGAAGCTAACGACCCTATGATGGCTCGCAACTTGACATGATTTGCCCAATGACAGAAATCACGGAGGGTAGAGAACGGTCAAGGTAGGAACGCGAATGTTGACGCAGTGGACTCAAGAAAGCAAGACCAAGCTCATGCGCAGATATCGTTCACCTGTGTCATCAGCCTATGTGTTGATCGGATTTGGTGTGGTCCAACTTCTCCGGGACTCCCACGACTGGCATTATGTATCACGATGTAGGAGACAAAGTGTAAGCCAGCACACACAAAGCAGCGGCGAGCCACATGTATTCTTGAGGAGTCGTTGTGAAGAGGATGTTTAGTCCGGCCGGAGTTCCACGAGTGGATGCCTGTCAGTTGCCTCCAAAGCCAGCACATGGACAGACTTTGGTACAAAATACGCATGTCTATTGCATGGTAAGCAGTCCATTAGTACAGTTCCCCTACGGGATTGTTTTCGCCACCCATTGTACGCGATAATGACAATCAGCCATCAATCAACCACTCACACATCACAGGGTCCTTCCACTCCCTCCGCATCTCCTGTTATACAGCAGCGATCATGGCAGCTCAATTGTGGTCGAGACGATCACGCTCGCGAAGTTCCTCCGCGTAGACAATATCAGGGTCGCGGTCGCGGACCTCCGGGAGTAGGAGCGTGAAGCCCGCCCCAGCGATGCAGCACCCGAAGAAGACTAGACGACCGTTAGCAGGAAGGCTTATTGATAGAGACGGATAGAGAGTGGGACGTACTCCAGAGGACTGCGGGCGTGCCGATCTTCTTCGTGAGGGTGTTGAAGGCGAGCGCGGAAATGATCGCGCCAGCCTTGCCACACGCGGCGGACATGCCGTGTGCGGAGGCACGGAATCGGGTCGGGAAGACTTCAGCGGGGTAGCACTGTCAGCAGAGTTGACGTCAGCAACCTTTCGCACACCATTTGAATTCAGTTGCAGCATACGTAGGTGGTGCTATGCAATGAACGCGATTAGCATACGAGCGTAACAGAGAGCAACGGGATGCGACTTACGTGTTAGCGCCGAAGTTGAAGAAGAACTGGAGGAAGGCGAAGCAGACGACGAAGGCGGGGGTGCTCAGGGTGTGGAATTTACCCGCAAGGATAGCGACTGCAACAAAGAAGTGAACAACCGTCCCGTAAAGTCAAGGGGAAGCAGTAGACACGTACGGAACAAAGCAGCGAGAAGGAATCCCTGGATTTGAATCCACTTCCGGCCCAGCTTCTCGATGGTGAGGATGGTAACATAGTACCCAGGAACGAAGCCGAGCGCAGTGATGATCAAGTTGCCAACACCGATCTTGAACAGCCTGTTCCACGGCGTGCCCGAGCTGCCGTCGAAGCCGATCTGCTGCAGGACCACATTCTGGTTCAGGTTGATGCCGTAGAACGCGATGTCAAGCAGGAACCAGCACGTGCACGTCCCAATGAGCACCTTCGCGTGCCGCCATTCGGAGAAGTACATGACGAAGCCCCTGAAGTGGCCCTTCGCCGCCACCACGGGCTGCTTGGTGCTCTCGACTTGTACCGCCGCGGTGGGGGACGACGCCGAAGAATTTGAGGTCCGGGACGCGTTGGATCCGGCGGGCTTTTCGGTCACGGCGGGATCTGCGTCTGACTTCTTCTTGAGCTCGGCGATCGACTCTTCATCGACCAGGCGCGCAGCGTTCTTCCGTGATTCCTCGTAGCGGGTCGATTCGGGGAGAGTAAGACGCTGGTAGAGGGTGCCGAAGGCGGGGACGAGAGATAGGCCGACGAGGATACGCCAGACTGAAGACGAGGGTGTCAAATCAACTGTTGAGCCGCAAAGCAAGCATGAGAAAGGACGCACCACCATCGACCTTACTTGTCTGGCCGTCGACGTCCATGACGTGCTTGTAGCAAAGCAGGATAATGATGAACGCGAGGGCGCCTACGAACGAGCCCCACCCCTGGTTCGCGAAGATGTACGCGAGGAGCGTGCCACGGCGGCGGAGGTTCGCGCGATCCGTCGCGACGGACGCGGACATGGGGTAGTCGCCACCCACGCCGATACCGAGAATGATACGCCAGATACCAAGCCATATGAGCGCGCCGTTGGGGGAAATGGCACCTGCCATCCCAATGGGCGACTCATGAGCAATGTGATCTCACTACGGGGACGTAAAGAGAACGCGATGACTTACCTGTGGGGTCACATATTGTGCCAATAGTGGCAAATATGATGAGCATGAGCTCCTTGCCATCTAAGCACGCTCGTTCAGCATAACACTCAAACGATAGCGGAAGTTCCGAGCCGTATAGGCGCGGCGTACGTACAGACTGCTTTACGGCCGAAGTAGTCGGCGGAGTAGCCTGAGTGCGGGGAGGTCCATTAATATGCGATCAGTACGGGTATTCAATCCGAGAAGAGTCGAGGAAGGCCGCGAGGGGTCTTCGACCACGTCCTCGATGGTAACACTAGCGGCCGCAGAAGACGTACCGAAAGCAAATTGACCGATTACACTGCCGATATTGGCAGCAGCCTTGATGAAACCCTCAAGACCAGGAGGAAGCGAATGACCACCATACAGACGGTATTGCAACATGGTGGCAACGGGCTAGATGATTGGTTCAGATCGTGAAAAACTTTGCATAAGAACAGATGGGGGCTCACGTTGATTATGAACAAATCATAAGCTTCGGAGGGGTCAGACATGTATGAACACGCATGAAGATATGTTGCGCATACCATCCAGGAAGAATCCAACCTGTACGAAAGAAGGGGGACGGATGAGGTCTGGTCGGGTGATCAAATGCGCGGACGGACGTACCCCAGCTATACCCAACAGCTTCATCTCGCGGTACGTCAAAAGGAATGGCAGCCGCGAATCTCCCTCCCTCTCGAACTCCTCGAGGTTGGACTTGTAGACGGGCGGGGGATCGTGTGGTGGGGCATCATGTCTGGGAGCCGAGTCGGACGACATGGTGGACGCGATGTCGTGAGCGCCGAGGGGAAGAAGTGATCGGAGGGAAAGCAAAGAGAAAGTGATGAGCCTTTCTCTGAAGATCTAGTGTCTATAAGGCAAAGAGAGTGATGAGCGGGTAGAGTTAAGACATGCGGGCATGGACGCACGTTCGTCGACTATCACCAGCCAACTCCACACCGAGGTTCCACTTGCTTGATGGTCGACGACAAAGATCCTCGGCGCTTCTTACCCAGTAAAATAGCGTCCGGGCCACCACCGGCACAGCCACAGCTGATCTCAATCGTAGCGGCCAGACCCAAGGCGGCCAAGCACATACCGAACATCATGTTGGCCCGATCACCGATGGCCGAACACCTGTACTCTCTGTCCTATCCGGCCTCTTCTTCAGAACGATCCTCGTGGACCTTCAGCTTGAAACGCCACCAGTGTTCCTTGAAGTCTATCATCATGACGTCTACAGGTCAGCGCGCCAGCCTCGCCTGCACTGTACTACCGTACCCGTCCTCACCCACTTGTTTGGTCATAAACTGAAAGATGTTCTCGGAATGATCATACGGATTTAGTGCCGTTGCTAGTAAAGATCTTTTACATGTACGGACGCCTTGCTTTGATGCGTGTTGTGCACTTGAACGTCCTCAGCTGATCATAAGTGACCGGAATCTCTGATCGGCATCTGAACGCAACGCTTCCGGTGAGTACTTGCGAGGGCGAGCGTAAGTACCTCTAGCCATCCTGCTCTCCGCTGGTGGCTATCTATGTACAGTGTATGCAGCCCTGGGTTTGTACCTCTTGCCGTCGATGACGCACTCTTGGCGGGCTTCCCCATTGATCGCGGAGAGCCGCACGTCTCGGCATCTGTTCGTCAAACCGACAGCCATGTACGTACACATCCTGCTTGCGGAGATGACGCGTCGAGGATAATGGTGGGTGCACGCACGTTCGTTCGGGCAGCATTGATCTATAGCGCTTCAATGCGCGGTCACTGAACCCATGAGGCCGTCCTCATCGTCAGACAAATTTCACGTACACCATCATAGCGGCGGCCCACGATGGTTCCATACGCCAAATGAGACGTGCGGACAGTTACAAGCTCCGAAGACCTTTGACTGCGATCGTAGCTTCTCAGTGACCCTGCCAGTTGGGGTAGCGGTCCCGACGTGGACCAGTGAGCATGTTCACAAGCCACCTAACAATGATGCTCAGAAAGAATGTAACATGATACGTAGCTCACGGTAGCATCCCTAGGGCTCTTGATGCACGTACTGGTATACTTTGACTCCGTCAGATAAAGCGCTGGAGGCATTGAGACCGGTGCCAGCCGCTACATAGAACTGGAACCTGGCCTCGTTCGTGAGTACTGAGGGTGGACCCGCCGAGTCACTCCGGACAAGGGGCAGTCGAGCGAAGAATGTTTGGGTAAATAGCTTGTCCTTCGGAGCCGGGGCTCTGAGACAGCGTCTGGGGAAGACGAGACCCTACCCTCATTCTCTGGGACCCTTCTAGAGTTTCTGCTGTTGTTGCAGATAGAGATGGAGTCTATCTCGACCGAATCCATACGAGGATATGCATGACAGTTTGTGCCCCCTCCCCGTTCGTACATACTTAGATCGTTGCGACTGCCGTTCTTCTCCTGTTTCCGGCCGCTTTTAACAATAATCGCATAGAAAGCACTGGCTCACTGCGCTGATATGGCCGAGTCGTTAGGGCGAGTGATTTGAATCCCATCCAGTATCACTTGGGCGTTGCCCGCGTAGGTTCAAATCCTGCTGTCAGCGAGGTGTCCTTTGCTTTTGTTAAGACCATCCATGTGACGCTCCTGCAAGACACCAGGTCGACGTCTATTCCTGTGTAGCCGAAGATACGACGACATCTGAGGCTGGGCCCGAGATACAACAAGGCTGGACGTATAAATGGATGTCTATTCTCGTCTGAGCTGATGTTCTTGGCAGGCGCCGCGACACCGACAGCGGAGTGATGGACACCATCGTGCAACGGCGTTGGCCGGGATCGCCGCGTTAGGTCGGAGTTGCGGTATGTGTGACATTTCCTCGTTTTGTCACAATATCCTCAAAGCGCACTACATGGGTATGTAGTGTAACCTTAGGACGCACACAGCCCGCAATAGAACGAGGCACACTAGGCCGCGCTGGGAGTGATACCGGTGAACGGGGCCGTGCTGGGTGAGGAGAGGGGGCTCGGAGCGCCCGGCGCCGAGGGATGGAGCTTGTTCGGGCGTGCTGGCGGTGACGGCGAAGGCGGAGCCAATTTAAGCTCCGCCCGGCGGCTGAGGCTGGGAGGCGGTCGCAACGGGACGCTCAAGGCTTTCGTCAAGACTCAACGCCATCCTCGTCGCCGCGCTGCGACCGCCCCCAGCATCGTCTCCGCCGTTTATACCAACCAGCCCGCTCCTTTAATTTCTCGCCGTTTTGTCTTCTCCTTGCTGAGGGTGGTCGAACCATGCTCCGGTTGACCTCGGACCACTTCCCAGTCTGTGAGTACCCGTCCCTCTGTTCTTTATCTCTGCGTGTGCCCGCGATCTAGTATCTGTCGCTAACCTCGCCGTGCCTATCGTCTTCAGTTGTACCGTTTGGGGTCATTGGGTGAGTCTTCGTCCCCTCCATCTACTCAATTCCTATCATGATATCTCGCCTGACGACGACCCTAGCTTTTACCGTTACTTGTGGTACCTAATTCGTATAGCCGCCTCCCTCACATACCGTCCCGTCCCACTCCCCGAGAACCCTACCTACATCGCCGAAGAGGATGTCACCATCATTGTACCCACCATCGATGCTGGTGAGGAATTCAAGGAAGCCGCCCACAGTTGGCTGGTCGGTAAGCCCAAGGAGATCCTCATCATCACCGAGGAGAAAATGCTTGGGCCCCTCCAGGAGCTCGCCAATGCCGTCGACCCAGAGCGCATCCGTGTCCTGACTGTCCCCTTCGCCAACAAGCGACTGCAGATGTCTCACGGCATCAAAAACACGACGACCGACATCATCGTGTTCGCCGACGATGACGCCATCTGGCCCCCCACTTTACTGCCTTACACCCTCGCTTGCTTCGAGGACCAGAAAGTTGGTGGGGTCGGCACGTCGCAGCGCGTGCAGCCTGTTGGCGACCGCATGACCGTCTGGGAGGTCCTTGCCGCCTTCCGTCTCTCCATTCGAAATATCGAGATCGCGTCCTCAACCCACATCGACGGCGGTCTTCCCTGTCTTTCAGGTCGTACCGCCGCTTACCGCACCGTCATCTTGAAGGACCCCGAGTTCTTGCACGGCTTCACGCACGACTATTGGCTCGGAAAGTACCAGCTCAACTCGGGCGACGACAAGTTCCTCACCCGGTGGATGGTCAGCCACGGCTGGAGCACCTATGTCCAGTGCTGCAAGGAAGCGGAGCTGCTCTCAACGATGAAGCCCAACTGGCGATTCTTAAAGCAGGTCCTCCGGTGGACACGTAACACCTGGCGCTCGGACCTGCGATCGCTGTTCATGGAGCGCCATATCTGGACGTCGCATCCGTATGTCGCATACACCATGGTAGGCGCTCTGATTCGGTTGCACGCATGGATGGGCACTGATTGTTCGGTCGCAGGTGGACAAGCTGTTTAACCCCTTCACGCTTCTCGCCGGTCCCTTCTTCGTCGGCTATGTCGTCTACAAGAGCACCATCCCCCTCGATAAGGGTGGCTACCACTTACCCTGGTGGTGAGCCAAGTCTCTGATTACGAGGCTGCAGTCCGGTAACGTGAAACTTATGCTTCACTACAGGAACGTCATTGTCAGTTATTTCGTTTGGCTTCTTGCGACGCGGACGGCAAAGCTGCTCCCCCATCTATGGCACCGGCCACAAGATGTGATCCACGTCCCCGCGTTCATCCTGTTCGGCTACTACTTCTCGGTCATGAAGATTTACGCACTACTCACGCTTCACGAGGTTCGTCACGTCGTATGTGAGCACCACGATTGTCGACTGACATGTTCTATTCTAGACTGGTTGGGGTACTCGTGCGGGCATTGGCGATGCTAGGGCTGCCACCGCAGCGGCTGACGCAGGCGGCCCGCCTGCTGAGGGGTACACCGAGAAGCTTCCGGGCACCCCGAGCTACCCTCAGAACCAGTACCCCTCACAGCCGTATTCTCCACAGCAGCAGCAATCATACTCTCAACAGCAGTATTACCAGCAGCCCCCACTGGAGATGCAGGAAGGATATGCACGGTGATAGATGTTGGCGCGACGCCTCCGTGGCTGCGTGGGGAGGACGTATACGGGATGGGATGATCATGACTTGGACCACGATACGTTGGCCTCCACTCCTATTTTGACCCTATGTCCCTCTGTTCTCCACCTGCTCCGCTGCTCACTTGCGCCTCAACGGCAACGGCTGCTCCCCCTACCTCCCTGCTGCAGGCGCACTACACTCTCTCATCTACGATACTCAGAATATACCAACCGTCGTCAGGCGGTACATGGAAAATCTAGCTGTTGCTGCTGCCTGCTCGTCTGCATCCCTCGTCGTCCTCACGCAAACTCGCATCCTCCTCGCATCCGCATCTTGATCTGACATTCATCACGGCTCGCACCCCAGGTAGTGTGCATGTAATCTGTACCAGCTCTCGCGCTCCCGGTCCCAACAAGAAGTACGCAGTACAAGGATATTTTTGCTTTATTACTGTTCAGCCCTAGATGCCCGTTCGAGCTCGTCCGCGCGGGCCCCGAGCTCGACAGGGACCTTCACCTTCGCCATTCACCTGCCTCACAACCCGCCTTCTTGCGCAACAGCATGGGTGATGTTCATAGGTCGTTTATACATAACTCCCCCTAGTCACGGCTTCCTCTTGATCGTATATTATTTGCCTTTTCCTTTTGGGTCTCCCATTCGGTGCCGTGTGCCTTATTTTTTCTTGTAGCGACATGCTGTTGTCTTTACGCCTTCTAGCACGCAATTGGACGTTGTTTCAAGCACCTCTGCTTCTCGGTGTTGCACTGGGTTCGGGTGTGTGGTCGCCTCTCTCAAGCTTTGGAGCACTCGATGGCCACCCGCAGCTGCGGTCCTGCAGCCAGTCTCGTCTCCTGCATGTATATTGTCCTCTCGATCGTGGTCGACCGCGGGGAAGAATTGAACTGGGCTGGAATCCCAAGCCGGGTCCCGGACGAAATACGGCTATTCTTGGCTTCCGCCGGTATATTCAAGGCGGGCTCAATATTGTAGGTGGGATGGATCAGTGTTCGCGTGGATACACGCCTATCTAGGAGGTCTGCCTTTATCTCTGTCTGTTTCCCATGCTTGTGTGTAAAGATACATCGCTATTTGTAGTACTTCTCACTTTGGTCGTATCGTGGACTACATAACCATGACTCCACCGCAACCACCCCGTTATGCCGTATATTCGCAGTCCGATGTTGCCCCACGACTGCCAGGAAGCGCAGTCGGTCTGAGAGCGACCATCGCCCCGCGATCAGCCCCTCCTGAAACTCACGCCCCACACCATTTCCGCGCGCTCTGGAACAGCTTGAACCAGGGCCCGGTACCTCGCCAAGTCTCCGCGAACTCAGGCGGGTACCAGCTGTTACTCTCAAGGGCGACGACGCGCTCGGGGTGCGGCATGAGCGCGAGCACGCGCCCGTCGGGGGTCTGCACGCCCGTAACACCGCCAGGGGACCCGTTCGGGTTCAGCGGGTACGCCTCCGTGGGCGCCCCAGATGAGTCGACGTAGCGCAGCCCGACGAGGCTCTGCGCCTCGAGCTGCGCCTGTTGTCCGGGACTGGAGAAGGCCGCGCGGCCCTCGCCGTGTGCGACTGCGACGGGGAGCTTCGAGCCTGCCATCTCGCGCAGGAAGACGGAGCGGCTGGTGGCGTCGCCCGGGACGACCTCAACGACGGACACGCGTGCCTCGAAGCGCTCGCTCCTGTTTGGCTTGAAGTCGGGCCAGTGTTCCGTGCCGGGGATGATCTCGCGGAGGTTGGACATGAACTGGCAGCCGTTGCAGACTCCGAGGGCGAACGTGTCTTCGCGGGTGAAGAAGGCCTCGAATTCGCTCCGTGCTGTTGTGTTGAGGAGGACCGAGTTTGCCCAGCCCTTGCCGGCACCCAGAACGTCGCCGTAGGAGAAGCCACCACAGGCGGCGAACCCGCGGAACGTTGAGAGGGAGACGGCGCCGGATAGGATGTCGGACATGTGTACGTCGACTGCGTCGAAGCCGGCGGCGGTGAACGCCCAGGCCATCTCGACCTGGCCGTTCACGCCTTGTTCGCGGAGAACGGCGACCTTCGGACGGCGGAACAGTGAACGTGAAGGAGAGTACGTGAATGTGAGGTCGTAGAACAACCCTCTATGGTTTGACGACTTGATGAGGTCGAACTCTTCCTTGGCAGATTGAGGGTGATCGCGCAAAGATTGCATCCGGTAGGATGTTTCGGCCCACGCCTCCTGCAAGGCAGCGCGGGTGCTGGTGAACACTTCACCTGAGGCGGAGCTGAACCTGATGGTCTCGTCGGCAGTGACAGAACCAAGTTGATGGATGGAATCGCTTGGGAATCCCCGTTTTGTGAAGAAATCGACGACATGCTGAATGTCGCTCTCACGAACCTGGACTACTGCACCGAGCTCTTCGTTGAACAATGCAGAGACGTGGTCGGTCTTGGAGGAGATGGATTCCAGGTTGATCTGAAGGCCAGTTCTGCCCGCGAACGCCATCTCGACCAGTGTTGTGAAGAGACCACCATCCGACCGGTCGTGATAGGCAAGGATGAGCCCTGTATGGGCGGTTCGCATGACCTGGCTCGCCTCAAAGAACGTCTTGACATCCTGCGGGTCGACGACGTCTGGCGCCTCCGAACCAACCTGCTTGAACACCTGCGCGATCGCCGAGCCTCCAAGCCGCTGCCTGCCCCTCGCGAGGTCGAAGAACAGCAAAGTCGTCTCCCCGACGTCCGTTCGCAGCTGTGGCGTCCACGTCTTCCCAACATCCTCCACCGCCGCGAACGCCGTAACGATGAGCGAGAGCGGCGCCGAGACCTCCCGCCTCTCCTGCGTCTTCGCGTCCTGCCACTTCATCGACATCGACATCGAGTCCTTCCCAACCGGGATCCCTACTCCAAGCGCGGGACACAGCTCCAGGCCCACCGCCTTGACGGCGTCGTACAGCGCCGCGCCCTCGCCGACCTTGGACGCGGCGCACATCCAGTTCGCGCTGAGCTTCACGCGCCCGAGCTCGCCGACGTGCGCCGCGGCGAGGTTCGTGAGCGACTCGGCTACGGCCATGCGCGCGGACGCTGCAGCGCTGAGGATCGCCACGGGCGTGCGCTCGCCCATCGCCATCGCCTCGCCCGTGCGGACGTCGAAGCCATAAGAGGAGCGCGTGACCGCGACGTCGGCGACGGGCACTTGCCAGGGGCCGACCATCTGGTCCCGCGTTACGAGACCGGTGATGGACCGGTCTCCGATGGTGATCAGGAAGGACTTGGAGCCGACGGAGGGGAGACGGAGTACGCGGCTCACCGCCTCCGCGATCCTCTCTGGGGCCTGGGTATTGGGAAGGTACTCGGCGAGGTCAGTCTTGAAGGGGACAGCGGGAGGGGCGACGTGCGTGTCCGTACGGTGCATGCGAGGAGGCTTCCCGAACAGCGTCGACATCTTGAGGCGGATGACATCTTGCTGCAGCAGCCTGTCCGTCACGACGAGCTCGTCCGAGTCGTTCGCGATGCCGACGACGGAGAACGGACACCGCTCGCGCTCCGCGAGAGTCCTGAACTGCGCCTCCTGCTCCGGGGAGATGGCGAGGACGTACCGCTCCTGGCTCTCGTTACACCAGATCTCCATCGGCGACATGCTCGAGTCGGCGACGAGGACGTCGCGGATCTCGAAGGTCGCCCCCAAGTCTGAGTCGTGGACGAGCTCTGGGAGCGCGTTCGACAGACCGCCAGCGCCGACGTCGTGAATCGATTGGATGGGGTTGGCATCCCCGAGAGCAACGCAGGCATCGATGACCTGCTGGCAGCGACGCTGCATCTCCGCATTGTCGCGCTGCACGCTCGCGAAGTCGAGGTCCGCAGACCCAGCACCCGAAACTTGACTGCTCGCTGCGCCTCCCCCGAGACCGATAAGTAGGCCCGGCCCGCCAAGGACGATGATTTTTGCCCCAGGAGAAATCTTAGACTTGCGCGCGAACGCAGGACGCACGTTTCCGAGGCCACCAGCGATCATGATAGGCTTGTGGTACCCTCTAACCTCCTGGGTGCCCTCAGGGAGGGAGACGGTCTCCGAGAAGGTGCGGAAGTAGCCTGCGAGCGCCGGGCGTCCGAACTCGTTGTTGAACGCGCTCGCTCCGAGGGGCCCCTCGATCATGATGTCGAGCGCGGATGCGATGTGCCCAGGACGGCCGAAGTCCGATTCCCATGGCTGTTCGTACCCAGGGATGAGGAGGTTAGAGACGGTGAAGCCCGCGAGACCGGCCTTGGGCTTCGACCCGCGTCCGACAGCACCTTCGTCGCGGATCTCGCCACCAGAACCAGTAGCTGCACCAGGGTAGGGCGACACAGCGGTGGGGTGGTTGTGAGTTTCTACTTTGATCAGAATGGGCATGTCTTCCTCTTCGCCGTGGTAGAGATTCTTGACGTCCGGGTTAGCCTTACTTGTCGCATTAGGCAAGACAGCGAAGCGGGGTGCGTTGTGGCCCTCGAAGACAGCGGCATTGTCCGAGTATGCGGAGATAGTGCCAGTACCATTGAGTTTCTCCGTGTTCCGGATCATCTGGAAGAGGGACGTGTCCTGGGCCTGGCCATTGATATTCCACGACGCGTTGAAGATCTTGTGCCGGCAGTGCTCCGAGTTCACTTGAGCGAACATGAAAAGCTCCGCGTCGGTGGGGTTGCGGTTGATTGGAGACGCGCCGGTGACGTAGGCATCTACGAGGTAGTCAATCTCGTCGTCGGAGAGGGCCAGACCAAGCTCTTTGTTTGCGGACACCAGCTTCTCGCGTGCGACATCGCGAGCGGACTCTGAGACGAGGTCTATTGTGCGCAGACGGCTAGCACTCTTGTGGGAGAAGATGGCCTCCTGATCAGGAAGGGAGAGCTGAACGACCTGAGTCATACGATCGTGGAGGAGGGGAGAGATCGTCTTCAGCACTACGGGCGTGAGGCTGGATCCATCACTCGTTGTGAAGACAAACGCGAGACCACGTTCCAGACGCTCGACGTAATCCCCAAGTTTGCAGATGAGGGCAATGTCGGTCGCCTTGCTGGACCAGGGAGAAACGGAGCCCGGGCGAGGAATCACGTACGCAACATTTTCGCCGGACCGCAGCGCATGCTCGGTTGTCGAGAACTGGACATTGTCTCCGTAGTCCAGGAGCCTTTCCAGTATTTGCCGGACTGAAGATCCGGGTTTGGACAGCTCCTCTTCGGCCACGGTGGAGCGAGAGGCGATCAGATGAATATAGACAGCATCGACTGAGGCGATCGGAGGCAAAGCACTCTGGATGTTTTTCAAAAGGACATCGCGCTTCGACTGAGAAAGTGCTGAGCTTCCTGGAAGAACAAGCATAGTGCCTGACCTGTACGCTCAGAGGATGCATCAGTCTGGAGTTGTGGGTGCTTACCTGAATATTGACCACTGACTCAGGCTACCTAGCTTCGAGTCGGTAAAGCCAACTGAACGCGAGCCTCGATCGCTCCGTAGAGGAACCTGAGAATAGATCGTTCGTCAGGAGATGAACATATCTGGCATCCCACACCAACATACGGCTAAATTCGAGGGTGATGGACACAGGAAACTGAGTGATCGACATCGAGCAAGAGGAAAGGGGGGAGCCAGAAAGTTTGCGCTACCAGTGACAGATCTAATCTAATCTAAGGTGGAGGTGAGATACGCGCCGGCATAGATCTCGATCAGATGTGGCTCCCGCCGCGACGGTCACGGTTGTACACGTTGCTACCTACCGCCATGCGAACCTGAAGCCTCTGGTCGAATCATGCGAAAACACGTAAGGTAACAGCCGGTCCGGGTGCCGCTCAAGGTTGTGAGCGTGGCGGAAAGGCCCAGAATGTCGAGCCATCCGGACGAGTCCCGATAAGGCGGAAGCGAAGAGACCACATACGAATCGGGGGCAAATGCCACCATATCAAGACCTCAACGTGCTTGTTGCATGACGCCCGACGTCCGCTGACTGCCCATACGACAACATAATACAACATCACGGCTTCAGATTTAGGTCAGAGCTTCCACCCTCGAATATTGGGGTGTTCGATTTGTAGCGCCGTCGTGCTCTGGAACAAGCACAAGGCGACGAGTGCTGCCATGTGCGTCCCCCATCTCCCGTGTTCATGACATGAGCTGACATGGTTGACTTGGCTCTTAGGCACCCGATGAATCACGGATACGCTTGGGGCAAACGACCGGCTATAACACAAAGGCACACGGATGCCGACGTTACTGCTCAGCTACTTTCCGCATCCCAAGAAAGATATGTCAAGCGTACGCGCCGCTCAAGGTCTCGGAGTCCTGGGACAACCTTGCGAAGGCCATACGATAAGGAGATCGTTATATTGATCATCGCTCTTCTTGTGGTCTCTATCGCATCGCTCTACGCCGCTGGTGTTCTTTTCATGGTTGCCTGGTCTAGAAACTCTACGCGACTACGCCCTGGAGGCTCTCTACTGTCTAAGGACCATAATCTTGTTCTTCCTCCCGATTCCTCCGCCGGTAGCTCTGGGTCTCTTCCAAGATACCTCTCATATCTTCCTCATAGCGGTTTCCACAATCAACGCATTGCCCTCGAAAATGCTCTAGTTCTGGCCCAGCTGTTGAATCGCACCCTGCTGATCCCTCCAATCCGTCTTGGCGCTCCTCTAGCGTACTACCCCTTCGATGAGCTCTACGATATGGTAGCCAACTCTACTAAAGCTGGGCTCGGCCACTGCTCTTCAAAGCTTCAGTACGACTCCAACTACCCTCCGGAGTGCGAAGATTACCAGAGCTACACGCATATACCTTGGGACTGGCTCATTGACCTCTCGAACATCAGCAACTGGCAACCTCTCCTCTCAGGATGGAATTTCACCGACGCCTGGCTCCAGGACACACTGAATCTCCTGGCCGCGGAGGACATATTCCGCCTCAAGGACGACTCCCGGCACCAGTACGCCTTCCAGGACTTCTTTTCTCTCGACCCGCCCGGGCGGAAGTTCTCCGAGTCCGTCCATATCGCCGCGCTATTGCGGCGTCCAGAGCGACTCATCATGCTCGGCACACTGTTCGGCTCTTCTCGCCTGCATCTGCGCTCCGAAGAACATTTCCTCTTTCGCGGACGGGTTCGCGAGCAGATGGTGTTCACAAACGCGCACCTTGTGGACGTCGCCGGAGCCATTCGAACAGCACTTGGCGGTTCGTACCTCGCCGTGCACCTTCGGATAGGCGATGGCTCCTTCGAGGTGAACGCTACGAATATCGTTCGCCGATCTTGGTGGAAACTGCTTCAAGTCGGCCTCGAGTTCTCGGATGAAGAAATCCTAGAGCTCGAGGAAGAGTCCTTCCCAGACGAAGACAACTCAGAACCTCCCATCTTTGCGCCCGACTTGCCGGCCCTACGCTCACCACATCCTCCGCTGCGCCCGTTCCCCTCTAATGCTACTCCTACCTCCGAGTTCCCTTGCCGCGGCCGCCTGCATAGCGCACCTCGTCTGCGGAGGCTCAACGCTCCCTTGTACATCGCCACCGATGCGACCTCGCCTTCGCTTAACCCGCTCCTCTGGCGGTTCCTGCGCACCTTCCCATGCTCGTTCTTCCTCGAGGACTTCGCGGAACAGACTCGCCCGCTGGATGCGTTGCGGAGCGAGGTAGACGGGGTGCCGCTCGGGTCGTTCTTGATGCCGTTCGTGGAAGCGATGGTGGCGGGACAGGCGTGGCAGGTGATCGGGACGGAGTCCAGCACGTTCAGCGCGTTCGTGACGGATGTGCTGTGGAGGAGGTATCATGGGTTCCAAATTGTGCAGAGGGGTTGAGTGCGGAGGCGGCTATGCTCATCTTGTCCTCCAACTCGTTGCAGCATGGATTCGGATTAAATCCTCTGTCAGTGATAGAATGGGTGATCAGCATACACTGCATAACGACCTGAGCCCAGCGGTTTCGCTCGAGGTGGAGTACCGTATCCGCCCCAAACGGAGGGGCCGGTATTGAGACGTCGGCATCATAGAATATGAACGCACCGGACGAACCACGCCGTCCGAGTCGGCGCGGAGCGCTGGGTACCGACGTAGACTCTCGGCAGCTCGAAAGAACATGCGTACCATATGGGTCAGCAGCTGAGCCCGTTCACTTCGGTCTCGGCACTGCTGCTAGCGGTCTCAGGCTTGACTGTCCGTCAGCCATCGCTTAGAGGTCGACTGGGTGAAAGACCAGAGATTTATAAGCCGAAGAAGACGAGTCGAATACTTAGGCGCAGGATAGACGATGGCACTAGCCATGCCGGGGGCACACGAAAGTGCGTGCCGGTATGATCACTAATTTGGGGAAGAAAGAAAGGTCACACGATGGCGATGACAGACAGTGAACGTTCACAACGATCATGTTCGTGATACTCCCCAGAGCTCGGTCCCGTTGATTTCGAGAGAAATATTCGAGGCGTTGTACGTGGAAAATCGTTGATTGGGAAAGCGCACAATACCCTTGAAGACGAAAGACCAGTGGGATTAAGGCCTACGACGCTCCTTGTCGCAAATGAGCACGAATAATGACTGTCTTCTCGCGCTCTCAGAATCGAAGGCCTAGGGAAGCGACGCCGTTATCAGACGCCAGGAAAACTAAAACGCGGAGCTATGATCCAATCCTTGGCGAGGTAGGATCGGGTACTGCGGTGCTGACAAGGCATGCATCGAGTGCCCAGTGGCTTTGCCGACATTGATATCTGACGATGTACGCAGGTATATAAGAAGGACAGTATGCAGCGAGGACCAACAAGCAAACAGCAACACACTCCTGACTACAATCACCACATAACACGACATCTCAAATGAGCTCTAAGCAGAACATCGGTAAGTCGATACCGCACGACACTGCTAACAAACTACTCACCTTATGATTGCAGAAGTAACGTCGGGTCAGGTCCACCCAACGAAGTACGGCATCATTCTGTTCCCCGGCTTCCAGCTGCTCGACGTCTTCGGACCCCTCGACGCACTCAGTGTGCTCTCCACCAGAGTCAAACTCGACCCTCTCATTATTATCGCGGAGACTCTGGATCCCGTCTACAGCGGATCTGCCCAATCGATGTGGAACAGCGCAGGCTCGGACTTCGGCGCGTCCGTCGTCCCCACGCACACATTCGAGACCGTGCCCGACGACCTCGAGGTGCTCCTGGTTCCCGGAGGCTCGGGCGCCGTCCAGCCCGGCGCCGACGACCGCAGGGTCGAATTCATCAAGAAGACCTACCCGAAGCTCAAATACCTCGTCACCATTTGCAACGGGGTCGGCCTCGCCGCTCAGGCTGGGGTCCTCGATGGGAAACGCGCCACGGCGGACAAGGCGATCTGGGTCAGGACGACCTCGCTTGGCCCGAGTGTCAACTGGGTGAAGACCGCCCGATGGGTCGCGGACGGGAACATTTGGACGTCCTCGGGAGTGAGCGCGGGGTTGGACGTCACGTTGGGGTGGATTGCGGAAGTGTTCGGGGAGGAGACGGCCCGGGAGGTGGCGAACGTTCAGGAGTATGAGTGGAAGAACGATGCCAACTGGGACGTCTTCGGGTTCATCTGGGGTGATGGCATGTAGGTTAGGGGAGCGGATAGAATCAGCGAAGCTGCAATGTGGGGTTGTGAACTTACTGAAGTGGGATGGAAGGGCATGCATAGATTGAATTGAAGTTGCATTTCGGATTCATTACCGATAGACGTGAAGGCCGAACAGGATCTCGAAGGGTTTCAAAAAAAAGAGATACACCCTTAGTCAACATCGATGCGCTACGGATATACGAACGGATTAAGTTGTGAAGCCTGGCTAGGTTAGCTTGAAGAGAGAGCACTGACAGCCGTGCGGAGATCATCGCTATTGTATAGCTACGTTGCAGGATGCAAGTTAGACGACTTCAGGATATTTATGGCGCTGGCTAATGCCGAGATACAGATGATAAAGGCGCCGTGGCTCCTCAGGCTCTGCTTACTTACAGGCTCTGCTATGTAGTACTCAAACTTGTAGTCTCATACAGGCTCCATGAGACTCAGTCCACCACCATTCACGGCAAATTCTCGTCAAAGTACTACTGGTCCAGCGTTACGCTACTGAACCTTCGCCAAATCACCATAGACCCGTTCTAGAGGCTCGTCGGCCGTACCGCATGTGGGGTGCAATCAATCAGGACTTCAGGACACGTCCGTTGGCCATAATTGTTTGTGGTCTCCGGTCCTCGCCTTCGCCATCATCGTCATGTCCTCATATGGCCGCACACAGCTCTAGTCGTCCAGGGCATACAAGTGTGTCAAAGTGAGTGCACCTTGGTCTTCAGCATTGGAGGATGGGGAGTACGGTGTCCGATGGCAGAAGTGAAGAGGGACCGAGACTTCGCTTGCGAGAGTCAGCTTGTTGCGTCAAGCAAACACGCAGGCGGTGCCAATGTCGCCCTCTTCCCGAGCTGATACAGGCTGAGTCTAGACAAGGTGCACGGATAGGGCGGGGGCCACGACGGCTGCATCATGGTCCTCTCGTCTACGAGGTCAGTTTGACGGCAGCACCACTTACATATCGTTTGGCCACTCAATAGTATCTAATGTGATCGATTGATCCCTGGCCTTCATGCACACGTCATTGGGGGTCATCGAGCGTCATTGAGTAGGATCTCCTTAGATCCAGGCCGACCGTGCTAGCTGCTGTTCGGTCGCTGATGGGAAGGGCATGGTCGACAGTACTGTCCTGTTGATATCCAGCGACTATGAATCGGTGTCGGGTCATTGCATGCGGTCATAGCATCAAGCGTGGATGCATAGGGGCAACAGCGCGAAGGGAGCAAGCTCGTTTTGGCATTCTGGCCAAACGCCCTCCATTATCATGAGCCTGTTCTCGGGAAGGACGGCTACGTCCCCGCACCTGCAGAGTTCCTCCATGGGCTCAGGGAGATCTACGACAGGCATGGCATCCTGCTCATCATCGACGAGGTACAGTGCGGATTCGGTCGGACGGGCCAGAATTACTACAGAGAGCCTGAGTGCTCGTGTGCACGGCCGGACATCCTCCTTAGATCGAAGTACATGCTGGGGTTCCTTTCTTGTGTAGGATGCATGCTGACAGTGTATTCGCAGGGTCTCGTCAACGGGTTCCCGTTGAGTACTGTGATCAGTCGCAAAACGCTGACCGACAAGCACACGCCTGGCTCCATGGGAGGCACTCACGCTGGCAATGCCGTCTCTTGCGCGAACGGCAGGTGCCATTGAGGAAGAGAGGCTCTTGAAGACCGTCGATGCTCTGTGCGAACCAAGCACTCCATATCTCTTCTCTACGGTCATCTATGACGTCAGTGGTAGCGTGCTGTTGCCATGCGTCAAACATGTACCATTGGACTTGCTACTCACGTCGAGTCCCAGGTCTACGGAACTCTTCGCCGCACTCAACGAGCTCCGGAAGGACCCTAAGCTCGCGCCCGCGATCCTCGGCGTGCGAGGCAAGGACCTTATGGTCGCGGTCGAGTTTGCATCCCCGGTGGGATCGAGCCCGTACGACACGTTCACGAACCCGTCTGTGCTCGAGAAGCTCGCGAGCCGTGTGGCGAGCAACTGCGTGGAGAAGGGCTTGCTCATCTTGACGACGAGCGTGCACGAGGTCGTCCGGTTCATTCCGCCTCTGAACATCTCGAAGGAGGACCCCGCGAAGGGCGTGGAGATTTTCAAGGAGGCAGTTTACGAGGTCGTCAAGGATCACTGAGTGTGAGGTTGAGGTAGGGAGGGGCCGGTGACCATCGCGAAGTGCGTGTATACATACTGACGTTGTGCTCCCATTCCAAGCCTCGCGCCTTGTATATGTAGTAACATATACGAGTGCCGGGTTTCAGACCTTTGCCGTTGCATATTGTCCGAGGGCCACATGTTCGTTCGACTCTTGTAGCGCGGTCTGTGTTTGATTGCAGTGGACTTCCAATGAACGGGCAAACGTCGTTCCGCACACCGAACATATTACAGATGCCGTACAAGGATATCAGTATCCATCGATGGAGTCGGGCCGAATGGATAAGGGCACATTGCTATGTCGAGTCGTCAGATGCTGCTCGGAACCACGGAACGGAGGGCGTACGTGAACGTATCGCTAACCACGGGCCTCAAAGACTCGTCCGCCAGAACACAGATGCTGATTCATTTCAAACCCCTAGGACGTTCTCTTTCATCAAGAACTACTATACATCTGTGGAGTCGAGACACTTATCGACCGTTTTATCTCGAAGGTATGTGTGTAACTATCCGGTCTTCATTGTGCGACTAAACACCTTGCTTTTCAAGATGTCGTGACACCTTACGACTGATGACATTTCTCAGCACAACCGATGAGGCAACTTACGAGCTGTGATCCGGACTAGAAGATGAAGTGAACCTGACCTCATCGCCGTGTGTCTCGGTAGGAGATTTCAATCAGATGCTGTACTGTATTCTCACGCTCAACACGATACTAACTGTTACCATGCCCAGTGTCTTCTCCGTCACATGCTTCCTCGCATCGATGTCGTGATGGAACCAAATAGCAAGGCGCCTCAGCGAGTGCGGACCCTCCTCAAGACCCCTGCTCTACTAGCGACTTAAACCGCCCTCGCCCGCCCTCTGCTGTCGGGTCGCGATGTCTCCTGTAATACCCTGGGAAGTCATAGAGAGTATTGTGGACCAAGCTTGTCATGATTTCGACCTCCTACGTAGCTTTTCCCTCACCTGTCGCCAGCTCCATCCTCACAGTCTCCTAGTCATGAGCAACCATGCCCATCTCAAGAGCAAGGAGCAAGCTCTTGCCTTCTACGAGCTCCTCCGAACAGAGACTGGATTACGGCTTCGGGAGCACATACGCTCCCTCACCAGTTCCCCCCTCGATGTTCTCCAATTCCCTCCGATGCAACTGCTCCCTAACCTGTCCGCCCTCGCATTTCATCACTCGCAGACACCAGGAATACCGCGATGGGAAGCGACCTACTTCATGTCTTCACACGGCGCATCTCCGGTGCTATCACCGGTACGGCCAGAGCATTCGAAGTCTAGAGCTGGGTCATCTCTCCCTGTCGACATGTACAGATCTGTGCCGATTGATCCTTGCCTTTCCAAATACGACAAACATCGATTGTCGCGATATTTCCGTGAGGCCGCGGGCGAAGGCTGGACCTGGCATGGTCCTAATGAGGAACAAGCTACCTCAATAATTTCGCCTGTTTACCGTCAACGTGAGGATAGCCCAGTACAGTCTTTGTGTATTCGATGGACTGATGACTCCTATCTCTTAGATGCGCTCGGACGTAGATGGGGGCGTTCGATTGTTGCTGCTCGACTGTGCCCGGTGCACTGTGCAGGCTCTAATGCTGACAGGACTTGATGGTGCGTGGTCTGGCCAACGATTGATCCGCGGACTGACCTCTCGCTCTGTAGTTTCCCGCTCATTTTCAGAGCCGTCAGAATGGAAGCGGTTGCAGACGCATACGATTGGATTGGATCTAGGCTGGATGGCGGACAGTATAGAGAGACTGACCAGGTTTCTCACGGAATTCCACCCCCCAAACCTAGAGGACGTCTCTGCGCACTGCCTTGTGAGCCGTGACCCATCCAGACATTCTCAATCAGCAGTTCGTCAACGACAAATTGAGAAAGGAATCCAACTGGGTTGACGTATGCTCGAAGCTGGAAGCGGCCCTCTCCACATTCCGTCGACAGCGGCTATCTTTCCTGGTATCGTTATATGATAAGTATCACAGTGCCAGGGAGCATCTTTGGACTCGAGAGCTTGGCCAACTTTTCCCCGTATTGCGCGATCGCAAGATACTGACTGTTACGTGCAAACCAAGTAAGCTTGAACATTTCCAACCTGTGCAGTCCACGACATAGCTGACCACCTCCATAGTCGCTGCTATCGGCCACGAGAAACGTGTGCATGCCCTCGTTGTCTCCCCGGACGGCAACTGGTTCGCGAGTGGTTCTGAGGATAACACCATCATCCTCTGGGACTCGGATGGACAGCTGTGCCATGAGTGGATGGCTCACTACGGCTACATCCGTTCTCTCGTATTTTCCCCGGACAGCGGGTTCCTCGCGTCTGCCGGCGGCGACGGGAAGGTGGTCGTCTGGGATCTGAACCAAGATGCACGTCGAGTCGGGACACTCGAAGGGCACACAGTCCACGTCCACGATTGCGCCTGGTCTCCGGACGGCACCACGATCGCATCCGGTGCTTATGACACAACACTTCGTCTCTGGGACACAGACATCCAAGCAGCTTCATCCCTTGGATGGCGCGCACGATGAGACATTTGGTTCGTTCACTTCTCTCCCGATGGACGCTGGCTCGCTTCTGGAGGGGAGGATCACTACTGCTGTATATGGGATGTCCCGTCAGGCACCTTGCATAAAGTCCTTCGAGAGCATACAAATGAGCTCAATGCTGCCGCTTTTGATCTGGGGAGCACGCGCCTTGCCACCACGTTCGACGACCACCCGGTGCGGATCTGGGATGTGAAGACGGTGGAGCCAAACTTCGTCTTACAGCGGCACACAAGTTCGGTATGGGATGTGGAGTTCTCTCCAGATGGGAGCCTGTTGCTGTCAGCTGCGTCGATGGACAGCACAGTGAAGATCTGGGACGTATCCACTGGTGTCATGATCATGTCGCTAGAGGGACACTCTTACGCCGTCACGACAGCGTGCTTCTCTCCATGTGGGAGGTACATCGTATCGGCGTCCAGAGACAGGACGGTGCGGTTGTGGAGGACAAGTGATGGGTCGTGTGTGGAAAGATTCCTCCAACATCGGAAATCTGTGTGGCGCGTATTTTTCTTCCCGGACGGTAAGACACTTGCGTTTGGAGATCAGGATGGGACCGTCGCTGTCAGACGATGATTGTCCACCGTTATTCCGGACGAATACTAGATCTAGTAGTTTATGTAGGTAAAAGGAAGTCGCGTTTGGGCGCAGTGCAAACGCGTGAGGTACTACGCGTTGCGAGCCAGACTATATATATACATGTAAACAAGACTCTGAGACAAAATATACAGTACGAGACGAAACAAGACCAGCGTGAGCACAATGTGAGCTCAATTAAATAATATGAGATTCAACAGTTTATATGTGTATATGTCGTCTTGTACTAGTAGTAGGTGTCGCCCTTCAAGGCTTCACTAGCGGTATACGTGTAGCACAGAGCTTTGTATGCTGATTCTGTCGCAAATATCTGATGTTGTCACATTGACATAAGGGGCACCAGTCACAAATGGGCTTCACGACGCCGGGACCAATCTGCGAGAAATGTGAGCACTCGTAGTCTTCCGTGCCAGATTGGCACTGACCATCAGTAGTCACCTCCTCTCCTCATCGCGTGCAGATCTGTATGGTGGGTCAGGCTTTCAGGCGCGATTTCATCATGAAGCAAGCTGGGGTGCACGGCATCGATGCCGAGTTATGGCCGAAGGAGGCGCTGTGGATGAGGCACAAACCTGTTCTCTCCCTCCTTGCTCCTCTGCTCTCACCGGGCGTAGGGTCTGCTGCTCGCGGGCCCACCCTGCTTGAGGTTCAGACTCCCAGCGCGACCCATTCGCCTCCTTCGTATATGTTACGCTCCCCAGCGCGGACCGGCTGCGAGGCTCGTCATCCTTGCAATTGTCAGGTGCCATACCCAGCTCTTCGCTCGCTACCTGAGGGACTGGACGGTACTATCACTCCTCATATAAACCTCTGGGATAGAGCTGCTTTGGCCGCAGTCTCATGCAGTTTAAATCCCAGGTCGTGGTGCGTCAATGTTGAGCGTTGAGCAACTATTGACAAATTGCTTGCCTAGGTGTGGTTCTTGTTCAAGCTCTCCACAGATCCGCCAAATGTGAATCGCTGAGGTATCTGCCAAGCGTTGTTCATCTGTTCATGAATATTTCAAGACTGTGGATAGCCAAAATATGCTATTCCGGGTGCCACATCAAGCCAACGGGGCCTCAGGTATGTTTCTCCTCGACGGAAACATCACCTTCGCCGTACAGACTCTGCACTGGGTTTGATTACGTTCACCAAAAACAGCTTCCATCATGCTACTCAAGACTCTGGTAGAGGTGCATCTATCTTCAGGTGCCTAGTATTGGGAGGTGCATGCTGACGTCGGCACAGCGGACTGTACTTACAGCGTGCGTCACGATATCTGCAAACCTCACGTAAGCGTTTTCCGCACTCAGAACATATACGTTGTGCCCAGGACCGTACAGAGTGCTCATGGCACTTGCAGGCTCTGCGGGCCACGCGAATCGATGGAGTCGTATGCAGTCGCACAGTTGAGTTCCGGCGCTCGGATTGGGTCAGTGTCATCATACAAACCATTTCTAGCGTCACGCTGCTCGCATCTCCTGATCACAACTACAGCCATTTGATCACATCCTCCGTCCTCGCCACCTCTGCAAACTCGCCCTTCAGACTTGCAACGCTGACAGCATGTACCGTTTCCGCGTCCCACTTGCCCCTTTCGAAGTTCGCCACCGCGTCTTCCACGAGCCAGATCGTACCCTCCTCCTGACCTCCTTCTCCCGTCCGGAGTACATGCAAGTTCGCGCCCATGCGAATCGTCGTCGACACGCACCGGTCCGTCTCCAGACCCACAACGAAGAGCGTCCTGATGCCCGCCTCTCGTATTGCGTCCTCCAAGTTTGTCCCGATGAAGGACGAGTTGACGTTCTTCGTGAACACTCGCTCGCCCTCGCGCGGCTGCGCCTCTGGTATGAACGCGACGCCTGCGGGATTCTCGGTTGGGTGCAGCATGCTCCCAGGAATGACTGAGTGATGCGCGACGTGGAAGACGGGAAGGCGCGCCTCACGGAAGTGCTGGAGGAGGCGCGCGAGGTTCGGCTCGAATGCAGGGTTGGAGCGTGCGAGGCCCCAGTGCGTGGGGTGCTTGAAGCCTTCTTGGCAGTCGATGAGCAGGAGGGCTGGGGAGGGGTGGGCGGACATGGCGCGTACTTCGACGAAAGCAAGTGGCTTGTAGTAGCTGGCTGTGCATACTTATGGGACGTCTAATTTGAACCGACCGGGTGCTCAGTTGAGTCACTTCGAGGTCATGTGTGCGCAACTCAAACATCCGATAACACAATGTCATGCGCGGGCGCGAGCGAAACGACATACGAGCCTCGGGCGGATCGGTCATTTCGAGGCAGATCCCTTGAAATGACCAATCCGCCCGGTCACGACCCCGAACGCAATACGCTTAGTCTCGCCCAGACGATCTTTGTACAGATATATCGCCACATTTCCAGCACAATAGGGCGCCAGCAAGAGGCTGTCTTGAACGCAGTCCATGCGATGGTCTCGTGGATCCTGCGGAGACAGTTAGTCCCAGACAGATATAAGTATGAGATTGAAGCAAGGTGTACGTGCGACGAAAGCGCGAGGGACAACAGTCATAATACGAGTACAGACATGTGCGTTGATAACAATGAGAGATGTCCAAGAGTCAACGTGAATTGTGCGGAAGAGACGCGTCAACCAGGTAGTAGACGAATAGCCCGATAAGTTAGGCGTCCTGGCGGCGCACTACTACACTTATGCTGCAGTGGGAGTCCTTCACGTAAATACGGTATATGTACGAAGCACGGAACCGAACTGGGAAGTCATGGTCGTAAGTCGTAAGCAAGGGGCAGAAAGACGTGAGGGGGAGACAAAATATGCCTGCGGCGGAGGGTGCGCATGACGACACGACGACTTGACCCACATGGACAGCACGACGACCATCTGCCACGCCTCTAAGTATCTCCCAGAGGATGGATACAGCCACTTCGATGTCGCGCTGGATCTGATAAACAACATCTTAAGTTATACGCAATAGCCCATCCGGCAGACCCCCACGTAGTCTATCACCGCTGAGAGTACATATCATGATGTCCGCGCATGGCTCGGAAACACCGCCTGCTCAGGCGACAACGTCTGTGGCGCCCTGGGGGGCACCGGTAGCCTCCTCACCGAAGTCGGCGGAGGAGGTGGGAGGGGGAACTTGTTCGCCCAGTTCGGAGGCGCCGAGAGGTCGGGGTCTCGGCGCAGCTCGGTCGGATACGCCCCGGATACAGTGGAAGACGTGTTCGCGCGCCGGGGGCTGGGCAGCCAGCTCGACGCTGTCACGCCCGTCAGTGGTGAGCCCGAGTACACCGAGGTTCCCGTGCCCTGTGTACGAACGGGCGATGAGTCAGCATCGTCGAAGATCGTTCAATTGAGATGTGAGGTGCCGAGACAGGAATGCCAGGAAGCAAGTCTTGCGGATGGGGAAGGGAAAGGAAGGCAGCGCAAAAATGGAGCACGGGAGAAGGGAAGAAGCCGGAGAAGCACACTGACCTGCCGGGCTGTGGATGGTGTTCGCGGACTGCTGGGGCCGGGCGTCGTGTAGTACTCGCTGTTGAAGTCCTCGCCATCATGCGAGATGACGAGCACCTCGCCCGAATACGGCCGCTGCGGGTCGTAGTCATCTCGCTGTACGACCATAGGCGCGCCGCCTGGGCAATCTTCGTCCTTTTCCTCTTGCACTGTGCTCACGGGGCGCGGATAGAATGAAGAAATCGAGGAGTCGGCTGGTTTTTGGAAGCTCTTCCCTTCCGCGTTGAGGCCATTCGCAACTGGCGTGTTCCCAGCCGAGCCGTCGATACGGAAGGCAGGGTCCGGAAAGATCGGGGAGACGGTTTTCGCCTTGTAGTTCGGGCTTTTCCGAATCCCATCCTTGAATTTGATGAAGCGCTCGACGGCGGTCGGCCAGCGGCGTATGCTGGGTAATTCAATATTCGACAGCAGCGAAGTGCTCGATGTCTCCCGTATATGCGGCGAGGTGTGTGGCACGCCCAGCTCGTGTTCCTCCGCATCGCCGCCGTCAGGAGGCGAGTACGGATCGTAGTACGACGTGCTCCCGCTGCGATTGAGCCGGCGACGGTCCTCGTCAATCTCCCAGTTGGAGTCTTTCCGCGACGGCCGGAGGCGGTGAGAGCGCCTGCTCAGCCACGTCTCACGCAGCCACCGTTGCGGATACGCGAGCAGGCCGTCCCCGGGGATGAGTGGGAGAGTCTTCATCCGCGCGTTCCGCTGGTGCCGCCACTTGTGTCCCCGGTAGCACCAGAAGAGCGCCCCGGCGAGGATCGCGACGCCTACCCCAACGGCAATGGGCACCGCGATTTGCGCAGCTTTGGACATACCAGATTGAGGCGCTACGGAGAGGAATGGTGTCAGTCGTCCGTAAGATGTGGGTCGATGTGCGAGGTGCTTACTTGTGGATGCGAGGGCTCCAGTGAGGTTGAAGTCTTCGAAGGAGGAGAGTGGCTGGTGCGCCCAGCTGGGCACCATGCCTTGGTCAAGCTGCACCGTTTGCGAAGGGAACGAGGCTGGGTTTGAGTCACAGGTGTTGTCCGGAGCCCACTGGGGCCACGGGGCAAGACTTTCCCCTTGACAGACAGCACAGGCAGCGCGTATGTTGTAGAACATAGTATTGCTGCTCAGTAATCAGTACGACGCTTTGGTACGTAGTCTATGACACGCACCAAGTACAATTTTGCATGGTCGAGTCGTCTAAGTAACATTCGAAACCAGAACAATGTTGAGAGAATACACATTGCGAACTCACCACGGTCTTTACACGCCTGTAGGATTTGCTGTTGCACCGTACATGGCGACTGACCGAGCGTGTTGTCCAACTGTGCGAATATGCAGTATTAGTATCAAGCCTCCAAGGCACCAAGATGCATAGGGGGGGTGTTCGGGTAGTAAATGACTGTGAAGGGCATCTGGTGGGATGGACGTGAAGAGCAGGGTTGGTACGGAAAGCCAAGCAAAGGCCCACGAGCGAGTGCCTGCACGATCGATCGTAGTGCATCCGCCACACCCTTGGCTGCCACCGGCTCCCAGAAAAGCTCTCCTTCCAGCACGCGCCAACGCCAATCCCTCCGGTATACACTCCATCCACGCGCGGCGCGCGCAATTGAAATTAGGCTCACCTTGTTGCCTATACCATCGCGTGTGCACTCTGCCTATATAATTCGCAGACGCCAGCCAGTACGAAGACGCGTGTCAGCCCCTTAGCACGGAGAAGCACGGGCGAAAGAAGCGCACGGGAGATTGAGCCGCCACGAGCCCGGAGAGCACGACTACGAGTTCCAGAGGAAGGAGAGCGAACGGCAGCATCGCGCATGTCCACCTTGGCAGGGATGTCGTGTGGAGAGAGAGCGCGGAGCTGGGTCGTCAAGTGGGGGGAAGGAAGAGCGCAGCGGTGCGAGAGAGACGGAGAGCCCGGAGCCAGGACGCGGTCGCAGGATCCAGATACGAACGGAATTGGAACGCAGTCAGGCGGCGCGTCCCGACCTGAGCTGTGTGGTCGCTCTAGCTATAGTCCTCGCGGGCAGTCCACAAGGCGTGGGCGAGCGAGATGACGGGCACAGCGAGGACGGTGTGTGCGACTGACCGACCCCACGCGGTGGGCCGGCGATGGCGGGAGGCAGCCGCTGCACTTTGCATGTTCCTCGCCGCCCGCTGTCCTCATCCAATCACCGCCCCTGGCAGATAGACGCTTCATACTACACTTACGGCACTTCCAAGTTCTGTAACGCGGTTGCCCTTCTATATGATCGCAGGTGCTACGCCGGAGTGCAAGGAGCAGGCACTGCTTGTGGCTCCCGAAGTTCGCGAAGGAAATGCTGTCTACATCTAGGAACTCACCCGGCGAAGCCGAATATCATGTCCTACGGAGGGATACGCTAACTTGGTGCTGATAGGTGTTGCAGAAGCTAGTCAAGGGGGGAAGGGATTATCGATGCCCAAATGGCACTCGCAAAGGATCCTCCGTCAACATCACTTGCAGGCATCGCTCGGCACTGTCGAGTGTTCTCCCGACTGTGGCAGGCAGCACGCTGTCACAATTAATTCCGTGAGCAAACGATCGACAGCAACTTCCTTCTGTCACTGTGGCTCACAGGGAGCTGAACATGCTGCTATGACGACCGTCAAGTGTTGACTTGGGCTCGTGAAAACACCCTCCGTTGACGGTAGGTCGCCCTTCCCTACGCCAACATACACTGGAGTCAGTGTCTGAGTATAGCTGATGCTCTTGCCAACCGTACTAATAGGTCCTTTGCGATGCACTTGATCAACCACCGCAAAGCATGTGGCGCGCTTCACAACGCCTGTGCCGTTGCATTGTCCTTAGGAGCCAGAAGACAGAAGACACCGCTTTCTAGAATCATTGAATGAATTATTTAGAACGATGTGCCTTGAGGCAGAGTGCTATGAACCGGGTATGAACCGAACGCGGGCTCCCAGCACGCGTAGTCTCGACCTCAAGCCTACCCCTCGAACCTACCTGCATCTGATCGTCATTCATCGGCATTCACACTTATGTCCAATCACTATTCCCGTTCTACCCATACTACGTTATCTGACCAGCCCGCTAGCGGTTATGCTGTCCCTACTGATCTACACAACAGTCGCCTTCAGTCTTCTCAAGGAATCGGAATTAGCCGGCACTCCGAGCAGGCCAACGGGCACAGCGGGCATCCTCTCAACTTCCTGCCTCATCTTCCATCTCCTCAACACTCGTCATCCATCGCTGCCAATCAATGCAACAATGCGAATACCTGACCTTGACCTCCTACCGCCGTCCGTCTTCATCATTTGCGATCTCTACAGGATGTCAGTGTGAGTCCCCTTCCTCTTTCTCTATTCATGCGTCCTAGCAATCACCATCAAGCAGGGCTCTCTGTCCCCACGGTATGTACGCGGAAAACAATCGCGACGTCATCAGACTCGTGTTGTGGCTCTCCAAGAGGAGACTCGAGTGAACTTTGGTAGCATGCTGGGAAACGCTGCGACCACGTCATTCTGCGCTACCTGCCATAGAACAGGGCGGAGGAGTACAGCCTCGTGTGCGTGTCGGCTGTAAACGAGGCTATGGGATACGCATTTTGTAGCCGTCGGCTCATGTCTAGTAGTAGAGATTGCTGGCGGCACGTCTTTATCCTCAGCTCCGGTGGATGGTAACCATGTCCCAGTTGGAAGCTTTTGGAGGCGAAATTCGACCAGGTTCGTCCATTGTGCAAAGGGATGTCAATGATCGCTTATCCTCGGCTACCCTGAGCTTCTGATCCCAATTGATTTTGTGCGTGTGGACAGATCCGATCAATCGTCTCAACCACAGAGTTCAAGGGCGTGGTTAAAGCGTACTCTACTAGATTCGTTTAGTACCTCAACGAGTTCAAGGGCTAAATCGTCCCCACACGTAGGTCCCGTGAGTATGGCCCGCTTGGAGATGGGGATATCTACCGGACAAGGTATTTAGCGGCGTTGCTATGCGTATATGGACTCCCCGGAGATTGACTAGATCCGCCGGCGTCAAGCTAACGCCGTCTCAAAGAGCTTTGTGGCGCCTCGTTTTCACAATGTCTGAACTTTACTATACAATCATCGCCACATTCGACCTACCGCAGCACACGCGTTTTGATCTAACGTAAAATGGCAAAATTTTCAACCACCACACCGTAACCAACTGAGTGTGGCAGCCGGCCCAAAGCGCAATGGCCCGCGCGTAGGTTGCTTTGCCAGTTGGGCGCTGCCGTTAGTTCGGTAAGCCGCTTTGTGGTGGTTCTGGCCTTACTTAGACTCTATCGTCATGTGCTTTGTCGAGCCAAAGAGGACCACGTAACTGAGCAATCATGGCAAAGCGTACTAAACAACTCGCATATATCTAGTAGGCATCCGAGCCACCGTTTCGGCACATAACATCGAGCGCATTGCGCATCCACTCCTTTTCTTTCCACTGTTGTACTCCTGTGCCGGCATGCAACGCTACAGCAACCCGGATGTATTTTTCTGCCCTCTCTACAACGCCCCCGGTGTCGCCAACCCGAAGATGCACATTTGTGACCCGGATGAAGACGTAGACGACATTCTGCGGCCATTGTCGGAATGTAGCACTCCGGAACTCACATCGTCGTCGTCGACCTCCGTATGTTTTCCGTTCGGCCTCACTAACCTCTTCCGAGCAGGCGCTGACCGTGCGCTCATAGAGCCCATCGTCTTCTCGGGACAACTCGCTTTCCCCACCGCCTTCCTCTGCAAGCTCGGACACCGAACGGAAGATACAAATATATCGGCAAATGTGCGAGAAGGCCGGCAAGAGCCTCCTCGACTTTGCGGCGGAAGTGGAAGGCCGCAGGAACTTGGACGGGAAGCGCAAGCAGGTGAATTCAATTTCGAGAGCAACTATGCCCAATGTGTTCTAAGGCGTTATTCGCAGACACAAACTTCGCAAATGGCTCGGGACTCACCTCAGCAGCAGGAGTGACCGCCATCGACGCCACCAATGCCCTCATACCCTGCTGAGGTCGCCGCTATGGCGCACCGTCTTTCGATTTACATAGTTATATTCACTCTACCAGCTGAACCCATATACCCTCACTGTCATCGCAATGTATTCTAAGCATCATGAAACAATAAACATCCCCAATCTTATGCCAGTTTGTACACTAGGAACCGCGGGCGGCGTGCTCGCCGCTCATGTGCATGAACTTCAGCAAATTGTGCAAACAATGGTCATCCATGACCACGGCGCCCGAAACTGGCCTCCCCTTTCCGGAAACCGCAAGCGCCTACTAATTACGGCCAACTCCCATCTCGTCCGACGGACTCTGGCCATTGAGCACCTGCGCGGATGGATCCCGGCAATGCTAGGTAAGTATTCATCTTGCGCTATTACAGCGCCTTGCATAAGTCCGTGAACGCGCTGATTTTTTCTCTCAGGCGTCTACGCTAAGCGACCTGCCCAAACAGGCCACATGACGGTCACAGGTCTGGAGCCCACGGCCCTCGCTGGCATCACAGACGAGTCTGCGATACACGCGTCTCGCACGTTCATGGTTGTTGACAGTCCATATTGCAGGGAGATGCGCTTGGTGAGGAATGGCATGGTCACTGATGTTCTCTGAACAAATAGAAGGTGATGGTAAGGACCGCAATTGATTACCCTCAACGGTCAAAACGTTTGCAGTGCGATTTGCAGACCATTAGCCTCGTTCTCTTACACTCGACATGGGACATGGCAACACAATGTCTAGCGAGATCTGGAGATGCAGGAGGCGCTGCCACTAAGTACACGTCCCTCGCGATTGCGCCTTTGCTCCAGATATGAAGTAAGCAGGTGAATTGTGTGGAGATTAGAACATGAGCATTAGACCACTTATGCGCGTTCATATGTAGGACAAAATGAGATACAAACATTTCTTATCCATTATACACATAATGAACTTCTTGTATATCGAGTCAGTAGCTCTTCAATTGTGACGTGCCGTTATGGCGTAGTAGAAGTCTTCGTGACCGTAATGTGGCTTACTTAGGCAGGTCGCCTAGCGTAGACGCCGGAGAGAAAGAAATCAGCGCGTTCACGGACTTATGCAAGGCGCTGTACTTCATACCACTCAATCGTCATTAGAGAAACATCGAGGCTATGCAAAGCGCCCCGCTGTACCACAGCCGCCTCGGCACTCCTCACTAATATCTCTCTTGTCCCTCTCCCGAGCGCACTCCTCGTCCTGCTCTCCGCCTCTGCACTCTCCGCCTGCTGCTCTGCGACTCCCAGTGAGCTCTGTCTCTATGCTCCTGCTGCTTCTGCGCCGTGCGCCGGGGTCCTGAGTGTGAATTCGCACAACTTCTCCACCACCGTAGTTATGAGGCAGAAGTGCCGTTGCACGTAGAGCGGGGATTAGCACGGAGCGGTCAGATGTCCGCCTGATAGTATATTGTCCGCACGCATGACCCGTGTGCAGGGAAAGCAGAGATACTGGACCAGCGTCCCGCCAAGTACTGGGCTGACGGACGGAGACGGGCGCTCCATAGACGCCATACTTGGACTCCTTCAGCTTGGTATCAAGCTCTAGGGCTCTCAGATCTCAATGTTCTTCGATTATGCATCACTTACAACTCTTACTGACCCTGACATGAAAAGCGCTGAGGTGTCACCCTATAGTAGTTAGTCACCTGCAACGCGAAGCCAAATATTGTGAGTGTTTGCCCCAAGTGGGCGACCTTCCCTTCACGATCCTCACCCTTCTACATAGACTCTCCACAAGTCACTCAAGCCTGCTCATCGATGAGGCACAGCTATCCTGCCGACCCTGCCCTGAACTGTCGCCCTCAAAACCCCCCACCTCTCGATTGTATCCCTTCTAAGTCCATCTCCAACTGGCCCAACCGCGAGCACACACCCACGAAGCCCTCCACCCACCGTAAGTTCGTGTTCACGCTCCAGGGCGACGTTCACTCCGCTAGTACTCCTTTGCCACCCCCGACGATCTTAAGAAGCAGGTCTGCGCATACAACCCCACCCGCTTCGAGACAGCCCCGCCTACACCGCATACGTATGTCCCCTCCCTCCTTGCCCAGCCGTCGTGCACATTTCACTCCAAGACCCGCCTGCAGCCCCACGACAAGAAGACAGTCTGCCCGGTCACCTTCGCCCCGTACGCCTACAAGCTCTAATGCTACTAACCCTAACCCCGCCGAATTGCGCGAGTACTTGGTAAATATTTTCATGTCTCTCTTCTTCCATGTATAGTAGTCTGCCCTCAATGACTATCAATTATGGAATATACAACATCGAATTGTGCGATAATCTGTCGGCTAGCTTTCTTCGTAAACGATCCAGATAGACCATTTTGTAGCGTGAGCTTGGGCTCCATAGTAGAATTCGCACCAGATGCTGACCATGTATGTCCATTGGCTCAGTCAATAATGTACATCATCGGCCTCAGTTCCCCTATAGCATGGTAGCTGCTGTCCGAATGCTCAGCAAGAAATGGCTGTCAATGTCCAGGCGCCCTGCAAGGTCTGGCCATTGCACACCATATCTGGCGGATTTGCTACGGGTTTACCATCTACTTCTCATACCTTGCCCAATCTGGTCCGAATTGCGGAACCTGGTCATCACTGACCATCCTTTTCGCTTTTTTGCTGATGAAGGGCGCTCCGTGTGCTCGGATTCGGACGGATCTGCGCAAGACAATCTCTGTAGGCGCCAGAATGCTCTGGGGCGCCGGTCGGACCCCCGCATGCCCCCGCATCATGTCAAGTGCACGCCCTACGTCGTCGCGTTCGGCGTCGAGCACTCCTGGACAGCCCTCTGCGCTAGTGCTCCTCGGTCAACATCCGGAACTCACTTGCACTGCACTTCCCACCCTTCTACGGTCCTCCCACGATGCACATAGACTACTATAGGCCTCCGTCGACGTTCCGGGACGTCGAGGGGTCCCGCTCGGGATGGTCAGGTTGCGGAGATAAAAGATCTGAGAGATTGTGATCGCGGTAGCGACACCTGTGATTACCCAATTGGCACTGGTCAGAAGGCCTTCCCCCGCACTACTCCGCATTCAGCTGCCTGCGGGGTACCCCACCCATGTCTTATACATATCGCACAGTCTCGACCTCCCGCCCGCAACCTTAACCATCCATTCCTATTCGCGCGTCACCACAAATACCCCCGAGAGCACCCCACGCACTGCGACCACACCACGAGCAATGTCCTCTGTAACCAACCCGGTGACGAAGTTCGAGGCGAATCCCCCGGAATCACGGACCTTCGCTCGTCAGGAGGAGCTACCGAAGCTACCCATTCCCCCGCTTGAGGACACCTGCAAGCGATATCTCCGCGCACTCGAAGGCCTGCAAGACCCCAAGGAGCATGAAGAGACAAAGAGGGCTGTTGAGGAGTTCCTGAAGCATGACGGTCCGCGGGCCCAGGAGCGCCTGAAGCAGTACGCGAGGGACAAGGCGAGGTAGGTGCTTCTCAGCTCTTAGCCCCGCACTGTCCCCACCTACGCTCATGCTTGTGTCTGCGATGCGCTGTGTCTCATGTGCTTCATAGTTACATCGAGGAGTTCTGGTATGTGCCTCCGCCATGCCTACGATCTTGAGCGAGAGCTTGATATATAGCCACGCTTCTCGGAGGGCAGGTATGAGTCGTATCTCTCGCATTCAGACCCAGTCGTCCTGGCGCTTAACCCGTTCTTCGTCCTCGAGTGAGTGCTCCTTGCATTACTCACGGAAACTGAATTCCGAAGGACGATTTGCATCATAGGAACGATCCCACTCCCGATCGAGGGCAGCAGCTTCCTCGTGCCGCTTCGCTTATCGTCTCTTCTCTTGGCTTCATTCATGACTTACGCGCGGGAATGTTGGAGCCCGACACGATGCGCGGGATCCCACTCGACATGGATCAATATACCCGATTGTTCGGAACTGCTCGTATACCCACAGAGGTGCGTGGCTCTCATGCTCTTCAGCACATCGCGGGATCTAACTCGACTTGTGCTGGGCGCAGAGAGGCTGCAAGATGGAGGTGCACGGGGAGTCGCGACACATAGTCGTCCTTCGACGCGGACAATTCTGTGAGTCGCCGCTTCGCGTGGCTTCTATTCATTTCGAGATGACGTAGCTCCAGAACTGACGCTGATTGCCCAGATTGGTTCGATGTGCTTGACGCCGAGAATAGGCCGGTGCTGACTGAACGCGAGGTCCTCCGCAATCTGCAAGCCATCGTCTCGGATGCGGACCAGATGCCCATCCACGAGGTTCGCGTTTCAATTTTTTTTCAGTAATTAGAGAGTTGATCTCTTAGCCCAGGTGGCGCGGAATTCTATTGGCGTGCTGTCTACTGAGAACCGCAAGATATGGTCGAGTCTCAGGAAGACTCTCATCAGCAGCAAGGGAAATGAGCCGTGCCTGGACGTCGTCGATCATGCGTTGTTCGTCGTGTGCTTGGATGACGCGGCGCCGCAGAACCTTGCAGAGCTGTGTGACAACTTCCTGTGTGGGACGTACAACCTGAAGAATGGCATACAGATCGGAACATGCACGAACCGGTGGTATGACAAGCTGCAAATAATCATTTGCGCCGACGGAGCTGCTGGTATCAACTTCGAACATACAGGTGTTGACGGTCATACGGTACTGAGGTACAACATTGCATCTCATTAGTGATCCTATCTCGTTCATCCTAGTGTTTTACAGGTTCGCCGCCGATATCTTTACTGAAGGCCTTATGCTCCTTGCCCGCTCCATCAACCCATCCGCCCCTACTCTCTTCCACGCCCCGCTCTCCCCCTACGCCAAGTCCTACAAGCCTCCCCGTGGCCAGTCTGCGCCGAAGACCGCCCCGGGCTACCCTATTGACACTGCTCCAAAGAAGCTCGAGTGGACGCTAGCCCCAGAGCTGCGCGCAGGTATCCGATTCGCAGAGACGCGGCTGAGCGACCTGATCTGCCAGAACGACTGCCAGGCGCTCGAGTTCAAGACGTACGGGAAGAACTTCATCACGTCGCACGGCTTCTCCCCGGACGCTTTCGTCCAGATGGCGTTCCAGGCGGCGTACTTTGGGCTGTACGGGCGCATCGAGTGCACGTACGAGCCGGCGATGACGAAGGCGTTCTTGCATGGACGCACGGAGGCGATCAGGACGGTGCAGCCGCATACGGTCGAATTCTTGAAGACGTTCTTCAGCGAGGCGGCGTCGAACTCGCAGAAGGTGGCGCTGCTTAGGAAGGCGTGTGAGGGACATGTGAATTTGACGAAAGAGTGCAGTAAGGGCCTTGGGCAGGACCGGTGTGTACTTACGCCTCGCTCGCAACGCGTCGCATCACTGATCGTGGTAAATACTCAGGCACCTGTATGCACTGTACTGCCTCCTGCAGCGGGAACGCGAGGCGGCCGTAGCGTCTGAGATGGATGAGGATGGACGTCCGACGTCGCCGACGAGCGTCACCTCCAGCACGAGCAACTCGCGCGATAAGCCGTCGTTGCCTGCGATCTTCACGGATAACGGGTGGCAGATTCTCAACAGGTCTATCCTTTCGACCTCAAATTGTGGAAACCCTGCGCTGAGGTTATTCGGTTTCGGACCTGTTGCCGCCGAAGGCTACGGTATAGGCTACATCATCAAGGACGAAGGTATCTCAGTGTGAGTTCCCATCAGTTCAGTGCTGTTCCCAGACGCCCCTAATGTCTATTGGTGAAAATAGGTGCGCATCGTCGAAACACCTCCAGACCCGCCGATTCCTCGACACCCTCCAAGGATTTCTCCTCGACATTCAGCGTATCCTTGTCCAGCTCCACCTCTCAGCCAACCAGCGTCCAGAGCCGTTCGTTGACCACCAAGGGGTCCTGCGTGACTCGAAGACTGGCCGGCCGATCAACGGACATCGTCCCAATGGTTCCGTTGAATTGAGCAATTACGACGACGACGACGAAATGATGAGTACGTACCTTCATTGGGTGTTAGTGACTGTTGTGTAGGCTGATGTGCAGCAGCGGGCTACTCCTTCTTTGACAGCGGCGATATCGAGTTGCTTGGGAGGAAGAAGGATAGGCGGACATTCTACAAGACCGGCAAGATCATCCCTATGGCGGAGTATTGATTTACCGCCTTATCACTGCAGCGTACTCACATGCGCATAGCGCGACTGTACTGAATATCAAACGACCGAGCCATATGCATGCATGTACTTGTATATTTATACGTAACTGTAGCGATCTGTGTTCTTGGCTGTGTACAACCATACTCGGATTTGCGTCATGAACGGGTTCCTATGTCCCTTTCATCCCCTTCATAGTGATTTGTATCCGTCTATCTACGTGACGGCTGAACTCGTTAACGCATGTAAATACTTCGCGTGCACACCTCAGCCTGGAGTACCTGAGTGTTTCGGCCGAGTCAGGTGAGCAGGTATGGAGTAGGAAGCGCTTCTGCATTTGACCTGAGAACGTAGTGACTCGGATGTAACTGCTAGCAACTCAGTCTGTATCGTATGGCCCCGCTTGCATCCCCCAGCCGAAGTCAGGCAGAGGCCACACCGAACACGTATGCAAAGGTGTCCCAGTTCGGATCATGTCTCCACTCGTACTCCATGATGTTCGCCACGGTACGCGCCCTCTCCTCGCCATATAACTTCGAGATCCATCCCAGGGTGACATCGATCCCCGCGCTAACGCCTCCGGACGTCCAACAATTTCCATCCACGACGTACCGCGCCGTAGGTACCCATTTTACGTTTGGGCTTAAGGAAGTTAACATCGTCCAATACGACTTGTTCGTCGTAGCGCGCTTCCCGTCGAGTACGCCCGCAGCCGCAGCGACCGCAGCTCCATTGCAGACCGTGATCAGGTACCTGAGCTTCGGGTACACCTTCTTGATGAACTCGACGGTGGGCGCGACTGTGGGCGCGGCTGCCCCAGCGCCTCCAGGGACGAGCAGCACTTCCAAGTCGTCTGGCACGGTCTCGTGCGTGTGCGTCGGGACGATGTTCACGCCGAAGTGCGAGCCCGCCTTGTTCAACTGTGGGTCATTGAGCCCGGTGTAGACAGGATCCAGCGTAGCCGCGATCACGTAGAGGTCGAGCTTGAAGTCGTTGGATAGCGTATAGAGCGCCTCGATGGGCCCGAAAGCGTCGAGGGGCTCGAAGCCTGGGAAGACGACGATGCCGGCTTTGGAAGGAAGAGCCTCAGAGGAGGTAACTGCCATGAGTTCAGGTCAGCTCGAGGGTCAATAGTGTCGTGCCGAGGTCGCTTACTGGCGTTCTGCTGAGCACTCATTGTAAGTGCTGGGGTCCTGAAATGAGCTTGAACGGTGTGGGATGACAAGTGCAGTGGCTGCTCTCTGTTGCTGCTGGACGTGTCCTATCTCACTTATACCCCCGCTTCGGCGCCTCCGCTCGTGGCAAGCGGCCTCGATACCTAGTGCGCCAAAGGGCCTCGTAGGCCCCCGTAAGCAAGTACCCTACACGTCCGTCCAAAGGCCGCGAGACTCCTCGGCAGGAGAGCCAAGCTCTCACTCGACAGTGATGGCAACGCGTCGACTTACTTATCCGCAGCGGAACGCCTACGGCGTTTCACCAGAAGTGCAAATTGAGGCGCTCTCCACCGGTTCTTCTGATTCCGTTTACGTTGTGTCTGTATAGCGCTCCTCGATCAAGACGTGAGATAACGGTATAAATCAGAGAGGGAACTGTTGAAATACATGGGTGTTGGTGGAGGAGATGAAGGATTTCACGACATCAAAACCTTCGGCTGATTCTGTGTATTGTCCGATTATCCTCAAAGTTCAGGGCATGTCCAAGCAATACTGTAAGAGCTTTCAGCTAGTATTCCGAGAATGTGGAAAAGCGGTTGGACGTACAGAGCAGGACGCCCTCCCAAGCGTGCTTAGCTTGCTTCAGCTAAATAATCTAGCTCGATCCAGCCCGTCAGCGCGGCTTACTAGCTGGTTTGGCGACAACAACAAGACCACGCGAACGCCACGAGTTGGCACGGAGTCACTTCACGTGACTAGGCATTGCTCTTGATCTCACTCATTCTATCCGCCCCTCGGCTTGTCTACATTAACTGCATCTGTGTTTTGGAAACAAAACGAATGCGCTGTTTCGAGACAGTTGCGTGCGACTCACTCTCCTGATCCGAGGTCCGCAACAACACCGGCCACCTCTGGTCCCTGTGAGCATGCATCTCCAGGTGTAGAGTGCGTTCATTCAAGTTCACATGTACTCCTTCATCCTCCAGCTTTGACATAGAACCTTGTGATGGTTGCCCAATCAGACAAGCGCCTTATCTGGCATCCTCGCGGCCAGAACAAGTTCATAGTGGGCGGGAGCACTCAAATCACGTTGTACGAATGGATCCCCCAGTCCACGGAGATCAAACAGGTTGCGTCGCAGTCAGAGTTGAACCAGATGAAGGTGAGCCTACCAACGATCATGCTCTTGAATAGGTCACACAAATTGCACTGCTCCATGCCTCCATCCTCGAATGGCCCTAGTGCTTTGCATGGTCTCCAGATCCTATCCTCGACGATCTTGTCGCGGTCGGATTCAGCAACGGGCGTGTAGAACTTGTGCGCTTTGAAGCATCGAAACATGCCCGCAACAGTGCTGCCGTATCTTTGCCTCCCGCTCGGAATACTCGTGCTTGCAATACTCTCGGCTTCTCTCCCGCTAATCCCAACTCTCTTGCCGTCGGTCTCGATAAGGTCCGTAATGATCCTAGCCTTGTGATATGGGATATCCATTCTGCGCTGCCGGCCCTCTCTCTTTTCGACACCGGCTCTCATGGAGATATTGACGGAGATGACTCCACCATCCTTTCGCGCGGTGATGATCATACTCGTACGAGCTCTGACCCTCGACCAGTCCAACACTACGCGTCTGCGGAGGTTGTCTCAACCCTTTCCTGGCTTCCCCAGAACCCCCAGTTGCTACTTGCTGGTATATCTCACCGGTGGCTTCAGCTTTTTGACACACGCACGACCGCATCTCCAGCTAAGGCCGCCAGCAAAGTGCACGGCATTGCGACGGATCCATTCGACGCCCATCGCGTCGCGTGTTACAGCGAAGGAATTGTCTCCATCTGGGATATCCGACGTTTCACGCAGCCTATCTTGACATTCACGTCCAAGGATGCCTCTGCAGACGGCGCGGATGGAGTGGTCGCAGCTCACTCCAGCTCGCGCGGGAAGGGAGCGCCTTCCTCGTCTTCCGCCGTGGTACCTTTGGCACACGTCGAGTTCTCCTCGACACGTAGGGGTACTTTGGCTACACTGGAGCGCGAAGCCAGCCATGTCCGATTTTGGGACATCCATCAAGCGCAGTACTTCGAGCTTAGCGTCGAAAGCAATCGGTCGCGCGATTCGTCGCAGTCTGGCGGAAAGGCGACCAGGACTTCTTGGGTAAAGCCTTGGGCGGGCGGAGGTTCCACTGCCACTCGGCCTTCGTCACCGCCGGTCCCGGTGCCCGGAGAATTCTCCCAATACCACCTCGTTCTTGCGGATACGCGCAGAAGTGAGCGCCCTCTCCTAGTATATGCGATGATTTCACTGATCATTCTTCAGCGAAGACATTCTCTCACCCATTCACCTCGTTCGCTCTTGTCCCGAGCCCGAAGCCACACCCTCTAACGTCCAACGTCATGCTCGTAAATAGAGATGGAGATCTCGAGCTTTACGCTGTACATGATACCCCCATTCATCCTCCATGGAGTTCGCGAGGCGACCTCGCGCTTGGCATTGGCTGCTCGTACACAGTCATCCCCGGCATCACGGATCCCACACCTCCTCGTGAGCCCTGGGAACTGCTTGCCGCTCGCCCTTCTCGTCCCGGATCCCGCGCGTACTCACTCGAGCGAGCGGCGGACTCGACGTTTCACATGGGGGCGGTGGGTGACTCCCCAGCGATGTTCGGAAGGGGCGACGAGGATGGCTTTCCAGCGCTGACTCCAAATGCAGCGAGTGTGTCAAGGGGACATTCTCCTGGAAAGCAACGCTTCCGCCATCTAACTGCAGAGAGCGCATTGGCTGTGCAGGAGCTCCCCTTCGAGCACACCGCTGTTGTCCGAGGGCAGCCGCCTAAGCGCTCTCGCCGGGGAGGGGACCACGATGTGGAACGTGGGCGCAGTGTGCCTCCGACTACACCCAAGACTGTTACGTTGGCGTTGGACGATGGTGAGGGAAAGGGAAGGATTGCGAAGAAATCTCATGCTGTGAAGGCCCTGCAGCATGTTGTAGAATCCGACATCTCCATGTTGATGCGTAAACGAGCAGCCTTCGCATATGGCCTGATAGACGTGAGGAGCTCTCCGCTACATGTTTGAGCCCTACGACTGACACACTTATCCCGGTTACAGCCTGTGTACAACTCGTCCATTGCCAACACGACGAATCCGCACAACCCAAGCCTATCTGAGCTATGGTCATGGATCCAACGTGAGTCCCCTAACCACCTGACTGCCTGCCCATATCTGACGTCCCCCAGACTCGCAGCGTCTCGTGTTCTCCCCGTCACCTATCATCGAGGGGTACAACTTTGCCTACCAAGGTCTTATTGGAATATGGGAGGGCTTCCGCCCCATCCGACCCTCTCCTCCGTCCGGCCAACCCACACCTCGTATGCCCGCCCGCAGCGCTCTCTTCGACGGGCCTAGCGCTTCGCCGCTTCTCATCCCTTCCAGTTTAGAGTTACCACCCCGTCCCAGCTCGAAACACACAAGTCGGAGGCGGAATCAGGTATCGACCTCTTCTCTACCCGAGGACTTCTTGAATGCGATCGACGAGCTGAACATGAGGAGTGGGAGCTCGGAGACATGGAAACCTTCGGTCTCGACCGCGCGGCTGTCGCAGAGACGATTTGCGTTGCAGCTGTGCGGATGGAGCCTGGCGCAGGACGACCTGGCACGGGCGATCCAGAAGTAAGTCAAGCTCGTTCGCGAGATCTGAATATATAGTGATGGCTATCGCTACAAGGTGGGAGAAGGAAGGGAAATACTCGCAAGCTGCATGCTGGCTAGTGTTCACCGAACAGAATAAGCCGGCCATCGAGACGTTGATGCGGAGCAAAGGTAGGCGTTCATGGCAGCCGACTAGACCATTCGTACTTACCATGATCCTTAGACGAATCCCTCCACATGATGTCGGGCATGCTTGCTGCTTTGACCGCGAGCCCGTCCCGCAACGCGGAGCTAGTGCAGCATTGCGAGCGCCTCATTGTGCGGCTACAGGATCCATATCTCCGCGCCCTTCTGACTCATCTCACTGTACGCGACTGGAGCGAAGTCCTAGAAGAGGATTCACTGCCTCTTCGCGAACGTCTCGCCATCGCTTTCCAGTTCTTGGATGACAAGGAGGTGTCATCATTCTTGCGCCGTACCGCAGATCGTGCCATCCACGACGGCGACATTCACGGAGTCTTCATAACCGGATTGACCGTCGCCGGAATAGAGCTACTGCAAGCTTACATCGACAGTTCTGGGGACGTACAGACTGCGGCCCTCGTTGCGGCCCTGTCACCTACACTTGCGCGGGAGTCTCGAGCCACACGATGGATGAACGCCTACAGAGACATGCTCGACGGCTGGCGATTGTTCCACCATCGTTGTCACCTCGACATTGAGCGAGGAAAGATCTTGAAGGAGGCGGTCGAATACGGGGAAATCCAGTCGTTCGACTGGGCTCCGAAACAGGTATTGCTTCGTTGTAACTATTGCAACAAACCGATTGAGGCGCCATTCTCTTCCGAAGCGAATCCCAGAGTGAGTCTGGCCTATATATGCTCCCTGTCTCGTAAGTATTGACCGGTGTTCCTAGGCGACTCTGTGTCCGAACTGCAGTAGACCATTACCGCGTTGCTCTATTTGTCTTATGACACTGAATCTAGCCCCGGATACTGGCCGCGGAAGCACTCTATCCGCCATCCCGTCTGGTACGTGTCTGTTTGTTCCAGGGCATATGGACCGCTATGCTGACGATGTTGCAGATACTCTACAAGAGGCGCTTGTATTCTGTCAGACGTGTCGACATGGCGGTCATGCGTCACATATCCTGGAATGGTTTTACGGTGAAGGCGGGGCGGCTTCTCGTGCTCACGGCACTTGCCCTATCGCGGGTTGCGAATGCCATTGCGGCAACGAGCTGTGATACCTCCGCGAAGTGCCTTCATGGTAGTATGTAGGGATCGGCACCTTGACCCCTCACATCGTCAGTCGACAGGCGGATCCTGCCTACGACAATCTCATGACGATACACTGCCACTACGGAGATTGATACGACGGTACTCTAGGTGATGACACATGTTTAAGTATCATTCATTGGCCCTGTTGAACCCTGCACCAGGGTCCTTTTGCAATCAGCATGGTATTGCCAGTGCCCGAGTCCCGAGTAACATAGTTTCGAGCAAATCGTAGTATGAGGTATAATTATTCGATTTGTCGGCGGTCATGATTGCTTCAAATGACTATTTCCAATTGGCGGCGATAATCTTTTGAAGAATAGCATAGCGCGAACTTCAGCCTGTAGAAGCGACTAGTTGCTTGCTAGTGCAACTGATTAAGCTATACATTTATAAACGACGACGGGTCGACGACGACAAAAGGCGGAGACCAACGTTTGCTACTCGCTGTTGCAAGGGGGGTAATCTCTGCAGACGGTGACTCGCTGTGAAACATCTCCACGCCCAGCGCGTATGTCCTGCACGAGTGAGATGCCCTCTCAGACGATACAACACTGAGATTGAGCTGGACGGTCAACCCTTGACCGGTACCGAAGTAGACGTGAAACTGCTTAGACGCAAACTTCGAAGCAAAGTGCCAGGACGATACGTGGTCTGCATCGCGCCGGGTGTGCCTGACCGCGAGGGGGCGTTGCCAGTCAGTCTGGACCGACGCCTTGGGTTCCTGTGGATTAGCAGGCGCCAGATGGGCAGTCACCACCGCCCTCAGCCAACGGTTCTTAACACCTTCCTCGCAGCCGCAGACACCGAGTTCGATATGGATGCAACGACCACTCTTCCTAAGTTCGTACCCGCGCCTCCTGGGATAGTCCAAGTCAATTGCCTGATCATACCAGATGGGCGATACCACATAACCATCCTTCTCCAGCAGCGACTGACACCACCCGGTCAGTTGGATGTCGAAGGCGCCATCGCATCGCGTTAGCGCAGTTTGGACCTCGCCGTAAGCAGGGAGGGCTCGCGCGCGCGCTTGAGAGGGTCGATGAGGGACATATATTTCTTGCACCCGGATGCTGTCGCGATGGGCGGCCAAGAAATCCTGCGTCAGGCGCGTCGTGCGGAAGTACAACTCGCCGAGCGAAAATTGGCCGTTCGCGCTTAGGTCTCTGCCATGGATGTCGTTGTCGCTGATTGTCATTGTTGGCGCTAGGAAGGCACCGACAATGAACTCGTTGGATGTGTGGTCTTGGTTCCGCAGAATCAGGGCTAGAGAGCGTCCTGTGCTGTCCTGACAAGCTAGAATAGCTAGGTGGACAGGAACGTCTGAGTGCACGGAATTAGTCGTGAGGACCGGCACCGTCATGCGTATGCCGTGAGAGGTGGCCGTATAGTCGGAGAGTGGAAGAATAGTGCAGAGTTGTTGGACGAAGGTATGTCGGGGAAGCACTAAGGTTTGTGCAGAAGAGACGAAGTCTCTAGGGGAGAGCGCGAAGAGGTTCCGCATATACAAGCTCTCCTCAGCCATCTTTTCCCGTTCTTCCCAGAAATAGGCCCCGTCGGCTGAGGGGACGTTCACGAGCTCGACCTCATCTTGCAAGGAAAGGCCCCAAACGAATAGGCTCTGATCAGAGGTCTGCTTCAGTACCTCTTCTTGCAAGCGGATGAAGGCGAAGCGTCCCTCGCCATAGATCGTCGGCAAATGAATTCCGAGGATACCCATCAGCGAGTACGCCTCATCTTCTTCTCTAGTAGTCTGCCGCCGAGATGCCCAGGAGATGCGTCTCGCAACGCTGACTGAATCCAAGGATGCTTCGTGGGTCAAGATCGTATGTTCGATGCCCGTCACATCCTCGATCACTGTCGCAAGCATCGCCTTGGTTCCGAGGACGCGCCAACCCTTGGAAAGGAAGACCAGGACGCGGGGGGCAAGTAGCTCCTGGAGGGTCCACCCTCGCGAGAACCAACGACTGTGGCGAAATTGTGAGTTCGGCGCCCGGGGCTCGTCCTCGTCGTCCACATCATAGAGGTAGGCGTAGCACACCCCTGCGTGCTGGTACCATTTAAACATCGAGTTTATCGCCTTTGAGAGCTCTGAGCTACTAGTCTTGTCGATGCAGGATGAATCTACCCAGACACTATCGAATCCGTGCTCGCGGGCGATAGCGCAGCAGCGCCTGATCTTCTCGGACACCCCGCGAGGGATAGAATGCCTCTTTCGATTTGTGGTCCATAGCTTGAGACGATTTGACTGTTTCATGATTTTTTGGACGTCCTGGTAGGATTGCTCTGGGGGACCTTCACCCTCCTTCATCCAGACATGGGAGAGAATGGCGTAAGAAACATGGCGTGGCTCGTTGACCCATCGAAACTCCGCTGTTGAGGTGTCTAGGAGACGCATAGATATGGGGCTTCTTGAAGAGACGATAGTTAGGTCATTAACATTTAAACTCGGGATGGCTACGATTTGCTACTTACAGTGCACCCTAGGCTCCGTAGAACCTGTTGGTAAGGGGACGACAAATACTTCCGCCAGATGCACTGTAGCCATTTCGGATAACGTCAGGATTTCGTATTATCAGCAAGAATCTGATAGTACTCACCAGTCGATTTTGTCCAAATGGGCTCTGATGTGCCCAGGGGAAGACGCACAGTAAATGCGTGTCGCGAGGCCTGAGGTCGAACCGTTAGACGCTCTCAATGTGACGTGTCTCGAGCGATTGGTCGAGCCTGCAGGCCTGCACCGCCTCACCGTTGCAAGCGGCAAAGATGTATATATATATCCGACTTCTACGACATCGCATGCGCAACAGTCTGTGCAGATCAGCACTTCGAGTTTGATGGATATTGGTAGCTATGTTTCTCGATGCCATATAGCAGGATATAGCATGACCAAGAGCGTCCTCGATTTACATCCAATCACGTAAGTATATGCTCAATTTGGGGTTTTGCAGTGCCCTCGCAATGGGCAGAACTCCTTGACCGCCGTCGATATCGTGATCACTGACAAGATGTATGAAACTCAGGGATCTCTGGGTCTCCTTCTCGACTCCATGTTCATCGACTTGCATCGCTCGATAGTGAGGTCGCTGTCGCCCACTCCCAAGTAGCCAATCTGCCATTATGATTCACAGTATGTCGCTTGATTTGTGTACGTCAAGGTACAACTACTGATAGGTTGTTCCAGGCCTATGAACGGACATCATGCTTTTCCTGCTGGCCTAAGGCGGTGATGTAAGTGCTCAGGAAAGTCGATGCTCCAAAGATATTAAATCCTCATATCATTACACAGGCGACTTACTTGAGAGTCGGGTGCGTCGCAAAACACCGGCTCTGCTCACCCAGCATCCCTCAGTCTCCTACACATTTTACTAGGTTTCGCAGCGAGGATGGCATAGAGGATATTCATCTACTATTGACAGAGAAGGGATACCTACCGTCGGAGACCTGGTAAGTCTCACTCGGCGCTGCGGGGAAGAAGCCGGGCACGTTATTTGTACAGTATGTCTCTACGATTGATCATGCATTCCCGTCTTTCCGTGTTAATTAGATACATGCACGCAGCCCGCAGACGTACTGCGACCGATGCCGGTGAGCCCTGAAATCCACACTCGTAGCTAGGCTATAGGGATCTGACAGGGGTTGTGGCAACCAGTGTACGAGTGCAGAGTCAGATCTATCGTCGCATTCCATCTTCGTTGCCTCTTGCGACAGCATCCCTTCGCTGTTTAATACCGTCTGATGACTGCGGATGCTGGACGATGGCCGCTCATAGGGCGATGTGGGTACCGAGAATGATCGACAAACAGCAAGTGACACCGCTTCCCGTCGAACTTTATCACAACCTGTATCATACGGCAAGTACCGTTCGATGGGGTTCATAGTTCATTCATACCAAGAGAAGATGGGTATTGTCTGCCAGCGATGTCGGGGGATCGTGACTGCTGTCTGTTCAACCAATGTGTCTACTCTTCGACTCTGCTTATGCACAGGGGACACAAATTCGATGGAACCGCGAAGCTGCGTTGGTGCGAACGCGACACAGTGAACTGAGATGAAAGGCATGACTGGCGTCCTGAGAAAATCTCACCACAGTTCTTGTTGTGAAGGTTTCCAAAGTTGATACATTGTCCGACCCCTCATGGCAGCGCGCGCGCTCTCGATGGACATATATATGCCTTCCGTGGGCCCTGAGGCCCAGTGAGAACCTTCCCTATTTCCTACGATTTGTGGCTTTTGCCAGCGAATGCCATCTTTCGCCATTGTTTTAGAGCTGTCGCGATGACAGCTCGGCGTCTATTGACGCTCGATTTCATGCATCGATGATCCCTTTTTGTATATAGAATGGCCATCCGACGTCGATTTGCCAACCCTTCCATACAACAACTGTTTCATGTATACATCGCCGCATCCATATACATCCAATTCTCTGGGCGCCAAACGAACACTATCATCCATTTCCATGTCTGGCTGGTCCTCGATCTCGTTCCCGACCCCTTCGTCCATGACGCCATCGACATCCCCGACGCACTCATAAACGCGGTCAATTGCCGTCTCGCCTTCTGCACACTCTCTCTTCTGTTCTCCCACCATCGGCACTCTCACTGACTGCTTTGAGGCTATAAGGTAGGTACTAGCATAAGGACATTTATGGTACATAGTAGTGAGCGCATACAGGTGAGCTGGTTAGTACTTGCATAACGGTAAGTGGTGGCAGGCAAAGACTGTACACAGGTGGGCCACAGTACAGTAACGCTGACAGTTCCATGAGCACGAGTTCATAGCCACGCAAGCCACACACTTTACACGCAGTAGATAGGCCGGCGTGAGATGCGGGAGGCAGCAGGGCGGCAGGCGGGCGCAGGGCGGGAACAGGCGTCAATGTATCCCAGCGCGCGTGTCATACTGTAGAGTAACTGATGATAAATATATATGCTTGGATCGCATCGAGCATCCGAATCTGTACCGATCTTTTGTGAGCTTTATGTGTCTTCTTCTGTCTGTCGAAACAGGCCAGAATAGACTGTAATCGACCAGAAACGCTACAAATTGACGGATAAAGGTGAGTGACGGCAAATGGCTTTTTGTGGCCATATCTGCCTATCTCCTGCTATATCTACTGATATCCACCGATATTGGTCTTTATGCCAGCTAGAACAAGCTACAAATCGTAGGAAATAGGGAAGGTTCTCACTGGGCCTGAGGGGTGTACCCCAGATGGCCTTGATGGCCCATTCTTTCCCTTGGGTCGCCTTGCAATATGTCGTCTTCCACTGGTTCTGACATTTTTTTGTCATCGAGTACTATCAAATAGAGTGAGTAAACTTCTCCCTCCGGGATTATGCTCTTAGCACCCAATCTCACAATGCTCCCCTCAGACAGCTGAGTCGATACATTGCTTTGGCCAGCTTTGGTTTGTTGCCCCTTGCATTGCTCCTCCAAATGCAGCTGCTGACTCTCTCCATAGCTCTACTATCGTTCGACTACTTAATCACTTTCGACCGAGAGATTTGCTACCTCTCAGGACACAAACGAAGTTGGGTAATGGTGGTGTTTCTACTCAACCGGTACATCAGCCTCTTCCAATCTTTGGTGACTCTTCTCTCTACATTGTTACCTGTGACTACCTTTGTGGGTTATTCTTCTAGCTTCATGCTCGACATCGATGCTGACGTACCCAGAGGTGAGCAGAGACGTACAATACGCCTGAGGTGCTATTAAAATCTATCCGTTGGTAGTTGTATATATATGACGCGTACCATAGACGCATGTCAGATCCTACTTTACGTCGTCTGGGCAGGTGAGCAACTCATTCATTCCCCCCCGAAAGTCTCATAGAGGGAAATCATAGTGTTCTCCGCCTTGAGAGTTTATGCTTTCAGTGGCAACAATGCTATTGCCGTTGTTGTCGTTGTTGTGCTTTCTTTAGTCCCAGTTGTGACATACACTGTAAGTTGCTTCAATATGTATTACTGAACACCGGTATGGCTAATCCATACTAGGCACTATCTGCATACACTTGGATCGAGGTTGACCCCTTATGGCCCTCTTCGAACATCAACTATTGCAATGAGGGTTACAGTATCACTCCCCAGGTGTTCGCGAAGTAAGCAGTTGTACTGACGTTAAGCCCTACTATGCTGATTGCATGGCTTAGCCGTAAGCGCATCGCACCCTCAATTACCCTATCCTCAAGCCCTCTGACGTCTGCCCTTCAGTCGGTTTGCTCAAGAATGTCCCGCTCCTGCTCTTGGAGGCCATCGTGATTGTAGTGACCTTCGTGAGAACGTGGAACCTGGCGCATTCGCGTGACAAGTCCTCAATGGTCGAGCTAGCACGGCTGGTTCTCAAGGAAGGTATCATCTACTTTCTGTCAGTCTATGGCTGTCTATTCTCTATATTGCTGCATACTGATGGGCTTGCAACTGGTAGGGCCATTCTCTTGATCAACAGCACTCAGAGTATTTCTGACTTACTCCTAGACTTGAGTGTAAACTTTGTCGCCGCTAGTGCTATGTTCCCCCTGTAAGTTACAGTTGTTGGCTCATGTTGACGACCGCTCACTTTTCTTCACTCTACAAGGATGGTTCCTGTGCTCGTCTCCCGTTTCTATCTAGACTTGGACGATATACGCAGGGCCGAAGATGCACGAAAAGCGGAGGCGAACCGTCGGGCCGATTTGGAGAGAGCCAAGTTGTGGAGGATCAAGGTATGGTTAAGCTTATGCATCCTTGAAACGAATCCTGAGCTGTCCCGCAATGTTTTGTCGCAGCCTCTTCCCCCTCTCCCCAAAAGCGAGTGCGGTGAAAATATCAGCTACATAAAGGAGGTGTTCCAGTACAACAGGCGACTATGGGGCAAGAACGCCATCCTGATATAAACTGCAAGCCGTGCATGTCCACGTTCGGATACAGCTGGAATCTTCTAATTTATCATGTGGGAGCTTGGTCATAACCCACACGTTATCTTGGTTGCCTTTTGTTGTACTGTAGACAGCAGTTTTTCTTTGGTTCATCACTTGTCACTTTGACTTCCACCTCGCCGGTCATATGGTAATGTTATGCAGTCTGTCGGTTGTGTAATATAAGCGAACCACTTGTGCTCGGACTCTCGGAGAATAGCCTTATCTTTCGCCTCAGGCATCACTTCCAGTTCTAAAAGGTGACCGAGTACATTTGGTAACAGGTGACTTTCATGTTGCCTTGGCCAGTCCTCTGGCACTTGAGGCGATGAAAGATTGAAAGTCAGTATTGTCCAGATGCATCTGACAGGTCTTCATATTTGCGGATGCACCTGCAGTACCTGTGTATATATGATGCTTCAGCACATCTCTCACAGGCAACCCGCACCATTTCAGACGCACATTGTCAGCTTGCACTTGTCGCACTCCTTCGACGTCTGCGTATTCGCAGTGGTCTCATCGCGCTCGCAGCACGCGCAACTGCCCGCGAGAGCATACACTGCGCCAGGCTGCCTGTGCAGGCGGTTGGGCATCAGCCCGAGCTGGCCCATGTGCATCGTGCTCAGCATGTTGTAGCACGAGGTCAGGCGGCCTTGCATGACTCGGGTGCAGCTCGAGGTGCCTTCCGCTTCGGTTTGCCTAAATGTCACAGGGATGGTCTGTTATCTTTCCGATCCGGAAACCTATGGGAAGCAAGCCAGTCGCAAAACTCGCGTGTTCAGTTCTTGGAGTGCTTCATGTCGCGTCTCATGTATAGAAGCGCGAGCTAGACGCACTCGGTGTTGCGGTTCTTCAGGAGGTAGAAACGAACAATGACGCGTCTTTCCTCACTGTATACACATCATTATCTACCGAGAAACCTGGCACAATTCGTAAGCAGAGGGATGAATACCATCCATAGCCAACAAATTCGATGTTGAGCTTGTCCGCGCACTTCTAGTCTTTCAGTGGTGGCGCATATTAAGCGCCTATATATCAGGCTTTGGGGTCGGTCGTCCTTTATCGCGTCTTTTAGCTAATTTCAACACTAAATGTATCATTGAGAGCTGGAGGTGGACGGGAGAGGAACGAACCACTCGGAAACGCTGAGCAATGTTTTTTGTACTCGGTGGAGAGCGAACGATAAGCGCTGGAGATTCAAATTGCTCAAGGCTTGTCCGAGGCGGTCCTCAGATGCTCAACTTGTTTTGCCAAACCGTGTAGACAGGTAGAGGACTGCTAGTATGTACCAGGTATCATTACCAATGAGCTATTGTCACCTTAACCACTCGGTCATAGTGTCTCATGTTAGCTTCCTCTGTTCCGCTCTGAGTTCCTTGCAGTGATGCTGATGAAGTTCTCAGTCTCGTGAGTCAAGTTGCCATTGGTGAGAGCGCTGTTCTGGTCGGTCTCCCATTCGGACATGTGGTCTGATGTATATCGTACTTTCGATAACCCCATACACTGCAGAAACATACTTTTCTCCTGCACTCGCACGAAAGCAGACCTACTACCATTCCTAGCCTGAACTCCTGGACGACGGAATGCAGGTGAAGGACATACGAAGCGATATTTCGAAGATGTAGTAGGATGCATCAAGTGACACCAAAGAGCTGGAGATACTGTTGCTCGTAGAACGGAACAGTATGGCGGACGCCCTGTCCAAAATTAGTCTGGAAGTTGGGGCCGAGGAACATCGCGCAGCCGGTCAGTCCACCATGGTATTGAGAGTTATAGGGGGATGGCCTAGGCTTACTGCGAACCTTTGGCCGCTGCACTGCCCAAAGACAGCGAGCCGGGCCGAGACGAGGCGTAGTATAGGGAGAACGCCTAGGGCGTGGCCCAAAGGGTGATCATTGAGTAGAACTTTCAAAGTCCCGGGAATAGATATGTGGGGCTCTGGAGGAGATACCCTCCATAGTCTCGTCATCCTCTATCATACGCGATGCAAGGGGCGGCCAAGGCACGCTTGCGCTCGGCACATCTGACCATCATCAACCTTTCGTGAAGGCAGCGAGGTTTTGTGCCTGATAGCTCCGCCTTTCGACCAAGAGCCTTACTGAAGGACCCCCGATCATTCTCCCAAAGGAATGGTGCCTGATCCGGACAAAATTGGCCACCCAAAAAGGCCTATGCCTGATCCAATCCGGCCAAATCGACGTCCAAATTCTGGATGGCCTGGTGCCAAAGTCCGGACAAAACTGGTCCAACCAGGCAGAGGCCTGATCCCCATCCGCCCTTGGGCGGCCCGATGTTGGATGATAGCTACCCAGTCTTGACCAACAGTATCGCTCATTGATCACCAAGGCTTGCAAACCAGTGTCGCTATCTTTTTTTCCTTGTATCCCGGAACGTAAAAGGATGTTTCTGTTGAACTTGGACTTATCCGGACCGGACTACACGAGGCTATGCGTCTCCTAGCGCTTAGCTGTAGTCACTTACGTAGTATGTTACCATATTTGGGACTCTCTGCTCGTGTACTATAGCTATGCTTCCGGACTCTTCTGGTCATGTCTAGGACAATCCGTACTACTCCAGAACGGTCTAGACAGGTCTATGCCTTACTCATCTCTTACTCATCCTATGGTGCGATACGTTGCAATTCTTTCACCATCGTATTATTCATTGCACTATGGTACATGTGACTAACCACTCTTCGATTAGTCATGGACACTTCTCTGTAGTATATAAGGACTTCAGAT